ATTAGTCTTGCAATGGAATGTGATGAACTTCACTGTGACCAAGGTCACAGCAGCTACTGAGCACCTCGTTCAGAACATGGCACCTGTGAAAGTGCCTATCACCACTCTGGCACATGTAATTCAGCTCTGAGAAAGGCTACAGCTTCAGCACGCAGAGCATAACATTGTTTTCCTGCTGCAGCATAGCCAAGCCAAAGAGAAAATCTGTGTCCACTTTCAGATGCCAAATTGTTTGTTCTCCTTCTCCATGAAACCGGAGAGATAATTGTGCTCCAGAGTCCTGAGGCTGCTGCAAGGCTCCCTTTGTTCGTGTGCTTTTTTGGGGTGGAAAATAGAGAACAGCAGAGCCAGCTGCCTCTGCAGGAACCATGCAACAGCATTGCTAGCCTCCAGCCCCTTGGCTGAGGTTTTCCTCAAAATAGCCCAGAAAATGTGCTCATTACCCAGTAAGAGCACCATCCCCTGCTGTCTAGGATCAACCTGCAACTAGCTGGGCATTATTGTCTGTACTACTTAAACATTCAGATCTTCTCCTCACCCTACTTCTTGTGCTAAGCTTGATACAGCAGTGCAGAAGGAGCAGCTCTTCCCTCAGGAATCAGGATATCAGGAGATAAGGCAGATCAAGGAAAGGCTGTTGTTCCTGTTGCCTTGGCAGGAGACTAGAGCCAGATCTCACACATCCAGTGTGTGTACCAGGCTGCAGATCCTGACCCTCCTGGGTCAGGGATAGCCTTTACTTCACGAGCGTCTCCACGGAGGCAGGCACGGCACTCACTTGCTCTATCCCCAGCAAACAGGACCCAGTGTTGTGGAGACGTCCACCCCAGTATAAGGATATTAGTTGCTTGTTTCTTGTGTCCATTAAGCTTCTTCAGAAGAAAACACATTTCCAGCTGCAGGTCTTCAGCCTGACTTTCGTTCTCTCAACAAAATCCCAAACTGTTGCAGAGCTTCTCATGCAGGGAGAAGAACTGAAATTAAATGTGCTTGAGGTCTCCACCAGATACTGGCAGAAACACAGCAAGGTCACCAGCAAACTGAGGAGCCTTTGATATCCATGCTGCAGCTCCAAGAAGCACTCACAGGAGATGGGGAGCAGGGAGACGGTAGGAGGGGAGAGAGGAGATGTGTGGACGAGTTTGACCAGAAGACAGAGGTGAGATGGGGAGGCCTTCGTGGAGGGAGTGAGTCACCTCCTTCGGGGTCACAGTCTCTTGGAGACAGATAGTAAGGAAAGGCACAAACACAGTCCCCAGAAACATCTCAGCAGCTGTACAGGCAGGGAAGCTGAACTCCACTGCCACAGACCACCAGAGCTTGCAGGGCCTCTGCAAAGGGGTGCCCAGAGCCTGAAATACTGTGTTTCGAGTTGATCCTTGGGGCTGCAGTGCATTAGGATGGGAAGGGCTGTTCCAGCCCCAGGGGAGGGGCAGCTGAACCCATGCCCGTTGTGTGCATATCGCCTAACCCATCCCCTGAGTCCTACCCACTGGAGACCCTCCCCAGGGAAACTGGGTTTTCACATAAGTCCTGATACAGCATCTTTACGGAGCCATCATTTGTGCTCACTACATCTCTCCCCAGCCCACAGGTAATTTAAGAAGCCCCCAGTACCATTTTTGGGTGATATTTTGGGACTGTCACCTTTCCCCTCACTCTGCCTGGTAGCACCAGCTCCCCAAATGGAAGCAGGGGGCTGCTCACCCAGCAGGGAAAGGAGCAGCACCTGCAGGTCCTCCCCAGCCACCCCCACTGCAGCATGTGGGGATTGATGGCTCCTACCCCATTTCTCCACTGCAGCAGAAACAGCCTCCCCAGACCAAGATTTTGCTCATAGTGAGGAGGTTTTGGAAGTTGGTTCCTGCACCTGCCTGTTAACACCAAGGGGAATCCAGTTAGCTCTGCATGGTAGTGACAGATGGGAAAAATGCTGCCTTCCCAGCAACTGCTGTCTTTCTTGACCAAGGGGACATTGCAATGGCAATGGCAACTGACAGAAGAAATTTAGGCATAACAGTTGGTGCAGCTGTGGGTAAACCATAGACAACACCTGCTCCTGCTTTGGGCACCATGCCCACCTCACACTGCCCCAGCTGAGCGCCAGGCAGGCAGATCTGCTCCCATTTGCTCACCTTTCCAGCACCTTTTGGGAGGCAGAAGCCATCCTGCATCCTGCCTTGTCCTCAGGGTGCTGCACCCCTCAGCCCTATCCAAGTCAGTGTGGATGAAAGAGAGCTCAGCACCTGTAGCAGCTCTTTCCCAGGGATGCTCATGTGGGCATCCCCACCACTGCTGAAACGTTCCCTTCCATGACCCCAGTGCTCATACCTCCAGACCAGACACTGCTGTCCCAGTGATGTCCCAGTGTCCTCACGGTGCCAGCCAGTGGTGGGTCCTTGGGGTGCGTGGAGCTGCTCACGGAGACACCAGCCCAGGGATGCACACACTGACCTGCTCCCACAAGCAGAGCAGAGCTATGAGCCCCTCCTGCCGCAGGGCCCTTCTCCTCTGCCTCACCCCACACAGCTCCTCAGTGCCCATATCGACGAGCCCTTAATGAGCTTTGAGCTCACGTCCAGTCAAATCAACACCCTGCATGTCTCGGGTGTGGGGGCAGGGGACCCACAGCCACTGGAAAATCACACAGGCTCCAAGGGCATGGGCAGGAGGGAGGGCAGAAGGACAAAGGGCTTGGAGCCAAAGAAAGGGGGAGTCAGCAGGTGAGTGGGTTACAAGGAGTTGGTTGCACCCATGTTGCTGCAGCAGGTCCCGCAAGGATGGCTGCAGCAGTACATAAGAGGCCGTGCTGCAGTTGCTGTGCACACCTCTTGCCCTCTATGTTTGTGTTTGGACAGTGTCTCCACCATTCTCTGCAAGTAGGGCTGGCTGCATCCACGCTGAGGATGCAGAGGAAGGAAGGCTGGGTCTCTCTGCCCATGAGCTTCTCCTGCTTTCACACAGCCCTGTCTGACACAGCCCTTGCACAGGGCCAGGCTTGCAACAGTGCAGCCCTGGGAAGGGGGAACAGGGCAGGCAGGGTTTAGGAGGTATAGCCACAAAGGACACTGTGGTGTCACCGGTCAGGTGCATTACTGGCTGTGGGTCAGGCTTCTGGGGTGGAGGGGGCAGCCACAGGAAGAGGGATACTTCTCATTTGAAGTGTCAGGTACCATCCATCAGCCAAGGAAAGGAGCCACATGTGAATGACCAGTTGCTTCATGTGTAAATCCTGTCATTGTCTCTAAAAGGGGTTGTGTGGGACCTCTGTTTCCCTTTCCTTTTTCTTTCTGGGGCTCAAGACAATGTGTATCCACTGGGAGTACAGAGAAGTTGCTCTCAAAAGCAACACATGGGAGCTGCCAGCTCTGTCTCATTAGGGGCAGCATCGACAGAGGGGCAGGGGAAGGAGCCCAGGTGAATCAAAGTACAATTCTCCCCAGAGATTGTTGGTGAAAACATCTTTGCACTGCACCAGCTCCTGTCTTTGTGTGAAAGCAGAGCTAGGGACACTTAAATTAAGGACAAGTACATTTAGCGGCTTTCAGTTCTGCAGAGACAACATGGTGACCTGGATTCCTCCTGTACCCCCCCACACATGTACAAGGGCTTGTTTCACCCCACTCGTGACATTGCACCAGCTCCCTGGGTGCTCAGGTGGGTTGAGGGTACTGTGCCAATACCCCACTTTTTATTCCTTGTTATCAAAACTCACGTTCTTTAAAGGTCCCCCCTGTCCCCTTAGAGCAGGCAATCACACCATAACCCACCACAGCTAAACCTAGCAGAGTTCATCTGCCAAAGCCCTTAACTCATACGGATGGGAGGGAAAACATGCTGCCTTACAGCTTTGTTGAGGTTGCTGCTCATGGTCCCATCTACATCTATGCTAATATCTTGTCAATGGGTTATGTTTAAGGAACACATTTCAGGCTAAGTGGTCCCTGGAGGAACATAGATGAGGCAGTAAGACTCCCACCAGGTTATTTTGGCCATTAAAGGAGAAAGACAGTGGTGCCAGGAAGGTTGGCAAGCCTGGAGAGAGGGAAAATGGAGAAAGGAAACTGTTTTTACTGGGTAAACCCAAGGGAGCGGGGGGTGGGTTGAGAGCTGAGTGGGAGGATTGTACACAGTCTGGAGGCATCTTGACAAACAGGAATCCTCTCTGAGCTGAAGCAAATGCAGTGAGTGGTATTCCCTCTGAGAGTGGGTCTTACAGAACACCCTGATCCCTCTCCTTTTTCAGGGAGCCTGTGTCCCTCACATCATTCTGTGAGCTTATGAACCTCTTATTTATCAGCAGTAAAATCAAAAGAGAAGTAAACCACATCTGTCTCAGAAATCTTTCCTTTAGACTCTTGTCTGGGATAAAAAACCAGCCAGTGAAAATGTTGTGCTGACCTTGCTCCCTGGAAACCTCATTCTGTATCTCTGCAAATGAGCACAGCCTGCACCGGCCAGACCTGCATGGACAGGGAGCATGTAGGGCAGAACAGGGAAATCATTACTGCCTGTTGTGCCATGGAGCACTGCTGGAATTGCTGCCAGATGAATCCTGCAGGAGCAAGATCAAGCCCCAAGCCTGGAGAGCTTTTTCTGTAGCAGAGGGGTTGGAACTAGGTGTTAAAACTAAGGTCCCTTTCAATCCAAACCATTCTGTGTTTGTCTGAATCACAACTCTTGGTGAAAGTAGAACTGGCAGAGGTATGCCTCCCTTGTCCCATGGGAAGTGTGCAGGCACAGCCCTGGATGTGCTGGACCATGTAGGAGGCTCAGCTCCCTCTTGTCTGCCCAGCTTTCTTTGCAGTTGCCACGGGGCCCAAGCCAGGAAAGGGCTTTTTTAGTGTAATGCCATGTTACCAATTAGATTTCCTTTGCCCAAACCAACCAAATTAGAGCTGGTACCTGCAGGTAGTTTCAGTGAGGAGCCAGAAGCAAAGACCCTGGCCTCCTTTTGTCACAATTAATGAAACTTCAGGTACCAAGATATTGTAACTCACACTTTTCTGAGCCTGGCATTAGCCCATCCATCACTGTTCCCTCTTGGTCTTCAATCTCCCCTCAAGCCCGGTTGCTGATGTGACACCTCCTAAAATAAAAAGACAGAGAGAGACAGCAGCAGTTTGCTTGCAGGGTAGGTGCAGATCTCAGGCCTGAGGGAATCAGTCTGTTATATGTGTTCTTCACAGTCCTCCACACAGTCCACGCTGAGGAACACCTGAGAATTGCAGTGGGTCAACTGGAAACACCAGTTACCATAGGAAGCACATGCTTTACTGGAAGCACAGCAAACCATCACCCCACCTCATGCACTTCTGCTCTGGGGAGAAAAAAGGCCAGAAAGTAGCCATTTCCACTGAAGGAATAACAACTGAATTTAAAAGCAATGAGTGTTTTCTGTATCGCATTTGTTGTGCGAGTTAGAGGCAGAAGCAGGCAGTGAGTATCAAAGGCACTGGAGAGCAAGAATGTCTCTCAGCATCAGTCTGAGCATCACCTTCTTTTCCAGAAGAAAAGGAAGTGTGACCAAGAAAAGAAGAGACTCTATGGATATTTCATACTTGGCAAGAACTAGACATGGACTGGTGAGCCCAAATGGATTTCAGAACATGCCTTAGAAGAGAAGCAGAATTTGTTTGAAAAGATGGGATTTGGAGCTGCTCTCTTGGTTGTTGTCCATAAACATTCACGAAACTAAATTTTGATTCACCAGTGTGTTCTCAGAAAATGGGATCTTGGCAGGTAATCAGAAAAATACTCACTGGCTTCAGTATTTGCATTTGAATCGTTTGGGCTGCCACCTCCAAAGCTTTTGGTTGCTTGGGAAGTATCCAGCAAAAGAGCCCAACCCCACCACATAATCTGTGTGAGTAAACATAAGTACAAAGAGTGTTTTCTGAATAACAGCTATTGGACACGATGACAGCGGTGAAAGCAGCCAAATAATCAGGCTAGACATCTCTTGGTTTAAAATTCATTTGCAAAAATCATTAACACAATCATTGTAAAATAAGCAGCAGTATAATCACTTGAGGATAATTTTCAAAGAGGAATAGGGCTGCACTCATTCAAAAGGGCTGTTATGAGATACAAGGCTGCCTGGCTCTGACTAAGCCACTAAGTCCACCACCTCCAAAGGGAAGCAAAGACGGTCAGCACATCAGGGCTCCCAGGCATTGCTTTTTCGAGCCCAGCCCAAGGCCTGATCTTCTCCTCTGCTTTTTTGAGCCCAGTTTAAGGCATGGTCTTCTCCTCTGCAACCTCAGCAATCCCACCAACCTGCAGTGGGGGCCAAGCTGGCCAGCCTCCTTCCTCCCTGAGCCAGCTCAAAGCTCAGGTCTGGTCTGACTCCTGCCACCAAACCCATCCTCCCTCAGTGGTGGTCAGTAGGGAATAGACAGGGAAAATATGTAAGATCAGGGTAGGAAAAGCAGGACAATTCCTTGTGCTCAATCCTGCCAAATTCCACCCACAGGTGCTCCACATGACTCCCAACACAGGGGACCTGTTGAAGACTTCTCTGGTGGGATCTAGGGTTGCTTTGCCACCAGTGGCTGCACTATTGATACCCAGTAACACAATCACATGCCAGCCTCACTGGCCTCTTCTTCCCAGGAAAGAAATTCAGCTTCTCCTGATCTTGGCCACCCTGTGTAATCACTCCCAGTCAAGTTGGGATGAGCCAGTCCTATGGCATAGGAAAAGGTCTTGCCCCATGTGTTTATAGCCCTCCACAGGCTGCCAGCCACGTTGCTGGGGGTCACAGCTTCTATGAAATATCCTTTCCCTGGAAACTTGTCCAATACTTTTCACAGATAGTACTTTTATTTACAATTACCTTCAGCCACTGGTATTAAATCTACATTTATGCTGCTTGCCCCTGCAGCTGCTAGGAGCCCTTGGGAGCAATTTCATCTGGAGATGACTTATTTCAAAGACTGGGCATTTTTAAATCACTCCTGCTGCCAGCAGCACAAACAAAACAGAACACGGTGAAGGAATAAAAAATGTAAAAGAAATATGGCAAGAACAAAGCTGAAAATAAATACAAGAAAAGAAAAGGAATTACCACCCCTTGAGGAGATTAAAAGTGACCTGCAAAAGAAAAATAGATTGGGTTGGAGCACTTCTGTTCAGGGCTCACCTATTCATCTTTTTCCCCTGGAATACTCTGGAGACAGGGAGAACTAGTGAGATAATGTCACTGGATATACCGGCAGTAAGACTTCGTCAATGGTGAAACAGCCAAGTTCTGTTAAGCTCAGTGGTTTTTCCGTTGTTTGTCCTGTGCACCTCACCTTAACTCATGTGGCTGAGAAACACCTGGGAGAAAAACTTTGTCTGCTAAATATTTATCAGCACTGACCTTTCAGTCAGCAAGCAAGACCTGAAGGACCAAGGGTTCCCCAGCACAAAATGAAGAAGATCAATCTGACAAGTCCTGGGAGAAGAGGGGATATTAGGTAGAAGAGAAAAAAAAGGCCACTAAAATAAAATCCATGCATTCAAAGGGGTCATAATAGCATTTTCCCTACTCTTTCTTTCAATTAAGGGCCTGTATCTCCAGTTCATGTGGCTAGAATTCTACTAGCTGTATGACTATTTTTTCCATTTGATTGAAATAAGTAGGGCTGTACACGTGGAAATTTCTGAGAGAAGAGAAACACACTGCTACACATGGCGTAGCACGTCTGGGACTTCTGTCAACTACTGAAGCACGGTGAAAGCCGAGCCCTCTGCACCCTCACGTCTGCTTCCTCAGCTGCAGCACAGCTGGAGGTGGTGCTTGAGGACGGCCCACACCCGTGGGTAGCCCAGCCTGTCCTCTGATGGGGCTGACACCTACAGCATCTCACCGTGACACAGACTCAGTTTCCTGCCGGGCAAACCAGACCTGAGCTGCCCTTCCAAGGCGTGAGGTTTAATTACCAGCGCCCACCTCCTGGCAGCTGCCAGAGAGCTCTCGAGCTGATTGCTGGTTGGTCTCGAAGCACTGGTGAGAATAAGGCACCTTCCTGTGGGCTTCCAGCTTTCTCCAGAGGTGCTCCAAAGGCCAGAGAACCCAGAGTGCAAGAATGCCTGGGGTCTAGGTGGCACAGGGACACTGGGGTTCCCAGGTGGCCCCAGAGGCCATGTACCACTGGTGTCCATGGTGGGATTTGGGAGCAGATTCTAAGTGTGGCAGAGCCTCCTCTTGCCCTCATCTTTCCAGCTGTCTTCCCTGCCACAGGAGTATCTGAGTGGAACTGGGTGTCCAGTATCCCTGTGATATGCACCTCCTGCCCAGCACACTGACAAGGAGCACAAGGCCCTGGGAATCAGAAGCGAGTGACATTAGGGACCCCAGTCATGGGATTTCTGCAGGGAAAAGGACTTCTGGTAGGACTTGTGTAACAGCAGTACCTACCCACTGCAGGGTGTTCCCTTAGGTCTTGCCTACCCATAACTAACTGGTGTTGCCCATCTAAATCAAAACAAATTAGGCTAAATTAAACCAGAGCAGCCCACTTTGAAACCATTATTCCAGTTTAAAGACCATTTGGGTAATAAGTGGACATAGTCACGTTGATGAAAGTGGGCCTGTATCTGCAGAGTGTTTTGATAAATGTAGCTAAAAAACCTGATCATCTTTCTGTCAGTGAAACTGCTGTCACAAGGGACTGGGAAGATTTAGCTCTATTGCTTCTAATCCATCAAAACCAGTGTGAAAAGTAACATGGTGTTCAACTTAGCTCAAACTTGATCCTGATGGAATTAATATAAATTAAAATTCGTGTGAATGGAACATAAATAGAAGCATCCTCACATACTCTGGAAGATTTAACTGAAATCACATACTCTGTTAAACCAACCTAACTTTAAAGTCAATGTGCCCTTAGGTCTAGTTACATCATTGGTGTAGCTCACATGATTTTTTTTCCCTCTTTATTAAGAGGCTTATGCTGATATAAAAGCTCTGAGGTAGACACTTTAAATCAGCATAAGTACAGTTATACTGATGCAGCTTATGCCACTTCCCAGTACAATTGTATGGCAATGCTTTCCTACAGGGAGAAGCCTTATTGCACAGCTGCGTTTGACCTCAAAAACACAGGAGTGGGGGAAAAAAAGTGATAGATGTGGAGGAAAAATAGGACAGATTTGGATATGAGATGCAAACCAGGGCACATTACCAACAGAGGCAGCATAACCGCTGCCCACCACAGGTGCTCCATCATGATAAGTACATGGGCCTTGGGACCAAAGCAGAAGGAAGAGCAAAGGCCTGGCTTCTCTGTGAAGTGCCACAGAGGTGCAACCTCATTTATCACCACATAGGAAGCAACGCTGCTTGCACTGAGAGGGAAAATGCCTCCAGCCTGGAGCCATGCTGCTGCTCACCCATGTGATTCACACAAGCAGAACTAGCCCTTGTTTGCAGCAATTGAGTTTCACCCCCTCCAGGGAAATTGCTCCTATCGATAGGATCGGACAGTGGGAAATTGCTTTGCCATTGTTCGATGTGTCTTACGTCAGCTTGCCTGAGGGACTTCAGACAGAACAGCCAGAAGGTGCTGCTCACAGTTCTGCCCACAGTAAAACACCCTTCCCTTCCTTCCAGAGAGGGAAGAAGTTTTGGAAAGTTTTACCAAGATTACAAGTTACCTCCGCTTACAGTTGAAGTCCAGAAGCTCACAAACTCAAAACACCAGCAGCCACACATTTACTCACCAGCCTCTGTCACAACATCACAGAAGTGATGTAATTAAGACAAAACCTACCAAAGCATAATTCCCCCAGATGCCATAACACACACACAGACACACACCCATGTGGAGATCTGGAACATCTCAGGTCAGTATCTATAACTTTCCAAAAGGGACCAGTCCCTTTTGCCTTTTCCTTCTTCACCTGAAACCTCACGGGTGCACAAAGACCAAACAGCAAAGGTTTTGCTGCTGCCTCACCTGACCATAGGCCATTGCAAATGCTTGGAGAGACCCCTCAGAAGTAGTGATGCAGGTCAGCATCCTCCTGCCCTACTCCCAGCTGCCCAGCTCCAACTGCTTGGAGACAAGGAAAGCAAGAAAGTAGGACTGAGCTCAACAATCCCCAAAAGCAAGGGAAATGCCACCCCATGTCTTGAACTGCAAAAGAGCCTGAGCCGGGTGTCTTACTGAAAATAATGTAAAATATTAAGGCACCAAATCGTAGAATCATAGAATAGAATCATAGAATCAGCTGGGTTGGAAGGGACCTCCAAGATCATCAAGTCCAACCCTTGATCCACTACCACCGTAGTTACTTCCAAAAGCTGGATCTTTTAACTGTGAGCTGTGGCAGGTAACTCATAAAAACAAACAAACAAACAAAAAACCCCACAAAAAACAAAACAAACAAACAAAAACAAACAAAAACCCCCCAACAACAGCAACAAAAAAAAAAAAAAGAAAATTAATTCCGAGTATTTTCCCAACTTATTGCTGTAAAATCAATATGTTCTGAAAGTATTCATATATCCTCTGCCCACAGGCTCTGAAAAAACTAACTGTGTCTGACCACACTGCTCACCCATGTGGAGACACACACTCCCACACTTGGGCCCCTGGACAAGGAGGTTTACAGGTCAGGATGACTGGAAGCTGATCCTGGTCTTCTGTCTTACTTGGCTGGCAGCTTATGCTTGAGGTAAGGTGTAAACAAGGTGTAAAGCTGAGCCTTGCAAAAGCCTTTTGGAGTGGGAGAGCCCAATGCTGGTGATGAGAGACAAACACACATGGGATAGGATTGCATGGGGCATGGGAGAGAGAATTCCACCCTGATACATGGCTGGTATATACATCACACCAGTGCAAGTGGAGCTATGCTCACCTAGCCTGTCTCGGCTATTCATACCTCATTCAAAAGCATAGCACAGAAAACTAACACTGCCAAGGTATGTTTTCCCCAAAGTTATGAGATTAAGCCTCAGCATCAGGCCAGTTCCCACTGTCAGACTGCCTCCCGCCATCCCAGCTAACCCAGAGGCTAACCCAGGGTTACTGATTTATACTGCTGTACCTTGCCACTGGTGGGATATGTCTTCAGCAGCTCCTGGGCCCCCTTGTGTGCTGCTTGCAGCACCTCTGCTTCTGGAGAGCCTGGTCAAGAAAAACCGGGCTACAGTTCTCAGGTCATCCTCCCCTCAAAGCTAGTGCATGGGGAGGCAAGTTTATGTTGCACAACGTGGCAGTGGCCCTCCTCCAGGATATGGGAAAGCGACAGGTTGCTTTTATGATTGGGGGTGGGTTTATTCCTTCATGAGAAAAAGAAGCTTATTTCATCTCCTGTTGAAAATACGAGGTCGAGAAAGGCACCAGATGGCCTGTAATCTCTCATCTTTCTCCAGAGACCACTATCTATACCATGGTACAACAAAAGCTGCACACTCGATAAAGCATGTTTTGGAAAAGTTTAGTGGCCACTGGCAAATAATGATTCAGTGAGAGCACGCCTCCAGTCCAGAGCAGCCATCCCAGCCAGCTAGAGGGATAGAGCTCCCCATCCTGGCTGTAACCCAGGCTGGGCAGGAAACGATTCTACTGCCTGTAAAACAACAACAACAACCACCACCACCAAAACAGGAGAAAAAAAATCAAAAGACCATTTCACAGAATGGTCTTGGCATGTCACCAAAAGCAAGACAGGATGGAATTGCCCACAACTGGCTTTGCACAGACATAGATAGCATTTCTCCCTAGGAATCCCTCTCCTGTCCACAGAGCTTTCCAAGCTCAAGCTTGACAAACTGGAACAGATAGCTCTGAAAATACATGTCCCCCTTTGCAGTCGTGGGTCAGGGATTCAAAACAGACCCAGGATCGTGCTCCAAAAGCAGTTGAGGAGGGAGGGCTTATTCTGGGTTTAAAAACAACACAAAGCAAAACAATCTCCCCACTGCCACCTCAAGCACTGTTAAGAGACATTTCTTCTCTTCCCTTGGCCCCAGCAAGAGGTTCAGGAATAAAGACTTGCACTTTAAAGCCCCAGCCCTCCCCTGCAGCCCTGCATAGGGAACTGGATAGCAGCATATGCACATCTACTCAGCCTCTCGAGACTTAAATTTTAATTCTTACTTTTTGACAGCATGTATAATTTTATCTCATCCTTTGATAAATGTTGCTCTGTTCAAACACGACTTAGCTAACTAGTAAGATGCTACAGTACATAGGCACATGTAACCTAATAAAGCAAAGGATCTCAAGAAGACCTGACGTGTTCTATACCTGCATGACTGCCCATTGTCTCTTTCCTGGCCCTCATTTGCTGTGCACTCAAGTCACTTTGCACGTCTCTTATTTCTACATGTGCAAGACCCACCTCCCTTCAACATGGGGAAAGCATCTTAGCAAACCCCTCTTGCCACACACCAGGGAAGCAAAACTCAGGGAAGTCCCCAGGTTCCAGCACAAACCACACAGCTGCTGCAGAACACCCATAACTCACACAACACAAATACAACCTGAGAAGCCAGTCTATTCTTCTAAGCAAAAATGCCCTTTTTTCCTCCAGCTCAGTCCCTACTGCTCTTTGTCCTCTCCTGGCCCTTGGCAAGCTGCAATACTTGCACAGGGTCAAGGGCAAATCAAGAGCTTGGCTCAGGGTGGAGCTGTGGTAGCTAACTATCCTTGGTAGCTAACCCCTGTGCCAGGGCTGTGGTGGGCATGACTTTTCTCCACTCAAAAAGTAAAGATGAGGGCTGAAAGGAGGGCACAGCAGCATCTCCAGCTCATTGGGAGCTACAGCAGGTCACTGTCCTTTGCATGAGGGCTACCATGGTCACCTGGGGCAGGAAAGGGTTCAAGAGCCAAGCCATAACCAAGATGAAATGCCACTGCAATTCTCTTCCCCCAAAAAACTATGTTGAAGGCTGGAGTTACATGAATTGAAGATATCCTGATGGTGGACAAAGGTAGAAGTGCAAGAATTGCTGTAAGAGTCCTCCAGAGCCTGGATACATCCTCCAGGGCCAGGACAGAAAGGGCTTACAAATCAGCTGCAGCCCCAGGGCCATTTGAGGTCACCACAATGTCTCCCTACCTGACCAAGTTGCAGGGGGCAGCAGTTCAGTCAGATCAGGAATCACTTTTATTCAGATGAGGATCTAAGGGAAGAGGCTCAAGAACTACACATTTCTCTCTGGGAAAAAGAAACATGCCAGAAGGGCACATATAACCTCTCTGGCTGGGAGGGTACATAAACAGTGGGAGGAACACAGCAAGGAGATAACTCTTAAGACATTTTTTGCCTTGTTTGTCATTTGTTTTATCTTTCTTTCTTTAAATTTTGTACAACACAAGTTTCCTTCCTTTTTTTTTTTTCCTTCTATCACTATTGAAGGAAGAAGGGTAGAAAGGTTGAAGCAGAGGAAACAGAAATAACAGGAAGGAAAGAAAGGAAGAAAGCAGAAGGATAATGCAAGATCTTTCTTTTGTCTTGGTACCTTTTTTAGTAAACTGTTTCCCTGGCTTTTCTTTCTGGAAAGAGGGATTAAAACAACCTTTTTTAATGAGGAAAAAAAAAAAGGAAAAAAACTGAAAACCCAAAAATGGTAGTTAAGTGCTTGACAGATGTCTGTCTTCACTTCTATATAAAGTCTTTTTCTTCCACCTAGGAGGAGCAGCACAGTATGGCCACCTTGTACTTTCTCTTCCTACTTCAAATGCATTGTATCTTGGCATGCTACCAACAATTACAGGGGAAAAGTAAATTACCTCCCTCCTCTCCATACCATCCCTTCAGTACTGTATTCCTCATGGTGGGCAGGACAGGAGCAGTTTCCCATCAGACTCAGAGATCTCCAGAAAAGCTCAAATCCAGGGGCTAATGGAGACCTGTCAGATCTGTCATACGCATGCAGCAATGCCTGAGATCTTTGTGTAAGATTAGAAAATTATTACTTGGTCTCTAACTGTGCTGGGGATCTTATAGCAAAAGACATCGGCATTTTCTCGTTTCCTCAGCTGGGTGTATCTAAGTGGTTTTAGTTTTTAAAGGAAAGGGAATTAAACAACTCTGGGTCACTGAGATTTCCCTTAAAATTTCTGAAATTCTGTCAATCCCATCCAAAGAAACTGGATTCATTTCCTGATCCTGGGAATTCTGGAATTGCTTTCAGTGGGGACAGCAACACCTCCTCTGCCTTTATTAAAATAAGCTGCTTCCTGGCAGAGGTGGGTGCTACTATCAGATTATACATCAGCAACAGAGAAACCAGTTCATGCAGTATTTATTTTCAATGACACAGCCCCACATCTGTGCTCAAAACTGAAACCCGATTTATCTCTATGTAGGATTTTTACAGTTTTGCCCAACTGCCTCAGAAAAGGAGTAAACCCATCTCCACGACTTCTCTCCACACCAAATCGTGAGCAACACTGCTGGGAGGGGGAGGAAAAAACACCAAACTACTTACCTTAAGGCCTGACTGCAAGCCTCTAGATGCTAAGCTCTTCCTGCAATTACTGTTGCAAATGTGACACTCAGCTCTTTAAAAAATAAAAATAAAATAAATGGTGTCTTATGTGGTGCTGCAGCCCTTTGTAGGGAACGTGAATGAGATTTGCCAGCTCTCTCATCCTTCCACAGCAAAACATCTCCAATCAAGTGATAATGTCCCAGAGAGGTACAAATTCTGATACTTGACTTTCAGTGTTCATTTCACCAACAGTTTGTAGTTTTTAAAGGAAAGGAAATTAAATGGGGAAAAGATTGCCCTATGCTAATTCTCCAGTTAAACTCACAGGAAACTGCAAAAGATAAGGTTCCCATAGCAATTGGAATAGGTACCGAATTGCACAGATGAGGCCCGATTTCCCTGCTTACTTTCAGTGCTGGTAGCTTATCTCCACACAGCACAGGGAAAAGCAATTACTTGGAACAAGGGAAAGGAGCCTGTGGCATCTGTGATTCATTTTGATGGCCATTCTTTGGCGTGGTTGGATGCGCCAGCATTGCAACACAGCCATGCACCAGAGCGTGTACCTTCGACCACAGCAAAGCTCTTGGGGGGAACCTGCCACTGGCCTTTCTTGTGGTATTGGCTGTGAAATTCTGATAGGCATTCAAGCAGGATTTGACAGGGAGTTTCACAGCCCCAGCCTCCACAGGACAGAGTCATCTGGCACCGCACCAAACCCGGCATCCAAGCACAATTCCTCCCAGCCATCATCTCACATTTTTGACTACCCTGGCAACGACAAGCCTTTAATTCGACACAATCTGCTTCCAATGAACCCATCTTACCTATTAATTATGCTTTATCTTGCCTGAGCTGATGATTATTGCGCCCGATTATGCCTTCCCTATCCCCTGAGCAGTCACCTGCAGCAAAACCAAGGGAGTGCAATCATTCTCCCACCCTCGCCCCAAAACTGCTCTGCAGCACTGACCCAGGCCCATCATCTCCTTCATTAATTCCTCTACAAAATGCCCCAGCAGTGCAGTTAAATTTGTGGGCGTGCAGTCCCCAGGGTCTCATTTCTCCCAGCTGTGATGCAGCTCTTTTTTCCCCCCTTTTGTTTCTTTTACCAGCTGCTCTGAGACTTTTCTTACACTCCATGAATTTTCTGAAAGAATTGTCAAATATTCATCGGTTTCACTCTCGGATGCGTTTTTACTGGGCCATGTAGTTTTGACCAAGAGCAAGCCCCCTAGGTAGTTATTCCTCACCCACTTTCCAGCCTAAGACTGCCTTGAGATCCATCATGAACAACTGTGATTGCATCAAGCACCCTGTCACTCTCTTCCCTTTCAGTGACAAGCTAAAGCTGTAACTACTAACACTGCATCCTCCTTTTTGTCATTGGCTATGATATGTTCCTCTCTTCCTCATACACAGGTGACCTAGCAGTGTATTTTCCTTTGTTATCCTCCAGCTTCTTATGTACTTCTGAACCAGCTTACTTATTTCCTGCACTAACACCCCATCATTTTGTGCTGTTGCATCCCTCACTTGGCTCCTTCACACCTTTACTCCCTTCTCTCTCTCACCACTGTGTTTTCTTTTCCTCCTCTCAACATGAATTCACCTTTTGCACCTTTTATTTTCTTTTTTTTCTTTTTTTTTTTTTTTGGTTACTGTGTTGCTTTTCTCTTCCAAACCAATGTCAGTACTGAAGGACACTTCTAACAAAAGCATGTTGCAGTCTTCCCAGCTACTGGCAGGGTGAGTTGTCCCCAGGGTGTCAAAAGAAATACTGTCCCCAGTGGGTGCAACCAGCTGGCTGGAAGGAGAGGGTGTCCCAGATGCTTCTGTCTCAGACGTGAAGAAGAGAAGGGAAGTGCCCGGGAGAGAAAACAAACCACTTTGGGAAGGAGAGAGCAAATCAGTCTGCCTTAGAAGTGGGTTTCTCTCTCTGTGATGCTGAGCACCTCCTGGACCGGAGGAGACCATCCCTGGCGCCTCGGTTCGGACAGCCCCGCCACGTGCTTCTTCGGCTGCGGCAGATCCTCCGCCGGGGAAATCAGCTGCATCAGCCGCTGCGGAGAGGAAGTCTCTGTTAATTAGGCTGATAAACAAACTGACAGCCAATAGTGATCCACAACCATTGCTGGGGGCAAAGGCATCTAGAGAGCCACTGTTCCCAGCTCCTCTCCCACTGAATCGCTGTGAAAGAGGGAGGGAGGAGAGCAGGCTAACTTCAGCTGGACTCCTCACAGACCCAGTTCTGTGAGGGAGGATGCCAGCAATTAGCACCACAGCCATTTTCTGTGGCAATGGAAGAAAACGCTATAAAGCCCTTTTTTTTCCTATACCAAGCAGCCATGCCTATACCAATAGCCATTGACTTTGGTGAGAGCTGCGAAGCCTTTTGGATGGTCTGATCATCAGAAAGTGCTGTGGTTCAAAACAGGGTGGTAGATGATAGCTACCTCAGCGGCATTTCCCAGGTGAAGTAGCCCCTCTGCACACTGGTTCCTGCCTCCAAACCATCCCACCTTCCGTCTTCTAGACAGCCAGACTGCGATGGTGAAGACAGGGGTTGTGAGGCAGCTCCCTGCCCTTAGCTCCCTCTGCCCCGTGCAATGCAGGGTGCTACAGGCTGTTCCACACACACATATGCAGTGTTGTGACAGCTTTGGGGAGTTCATTCTTAAAAAATGCAAGTATCTTCGAGCTCTTTGGGGAAAAAGTGCTGGCTTACAGGGACAGCTGCTGTGAATTTCTGGTGTTACTCATCTGATTTTTGAAGTCCGTCTTGTGCCACACGCCTTCCTGAGCTCCTGGTCTCCTCCCAAAGCCAACCAACACTCAGTGTCCTGCAGCTACCTGCCAGGCTCCATGAGAGAGCATATCATTTCCCTGATGAAAACTGGCTTTCACAGTTACTAACTTTTTCCATCACAAGCTGTTCAGGCCAGTGCACGCTCCTCCCTTGCAGAGTGCATCCCAGCAGAGCAGCCAATTCATCCATGACTCGTTGGATTAATTTTAGTGCTCCCATCCCTTGTGAAATGCGTGCCAGAATCATGGATTTTGTTCACTTACTCAAAACTATTTGCCCCATGATTTCTGAAATTGACCTTGGTCTGCAGCTGCTTTGTGAGCAGTTGATTGTGAATTTTCAGTCTTTGGAGCTTGAGCTGCCTTAATCAGACACATTAGGAAACAACATTTGTGTTTCTTGGTCAATCAAGTATAACAAGAGGCATCAGTTTGTTGCAGTGACTGATCATAATTACCAATTACAAACTTGCTTTCAGTGAGTGCTTTGCAATATTCAGTTGAAAGGCACTGTTCCTGGAAGCATCTGTGCCAGGAAATTCTTTCAGTACATTTCTGGGGTGTGTCTGGAAAAAGAGAACAGGTATATTTTGGGAAAACTTGTTTTCAAAAAAGGTGCAAGTATTCCAGGAGGTATCATGTGGCTGGCTTTGATTCTGCCCTGAATCAACCCAGGTTTAGCAGCCGATTCCTTCCCACATACCTAAATCACATCTTTGGAAGTTCCTTTATACTAACGTAACTGAGGGGTCCCTGGAAATTACAAATAATATCATTTAAACCAGGGCAAAACAGAAAAACCCTCCATCTGAAACAGGCCACATCAGTTCCTCAGGAGTGCTCTGCAATAAACATTAACATTACTCACAGCAGCACTTCTGTCCAAGGGCTTGAAGCACTTTGCCAGGGGTGAGAGAGATTGCTTGTTTAGCAGGCACGACACGTGGGCAGTTACATCAGTGACATCTCCACATCCTCATTTAGACATATAAAGCCTCTGAGCCATGGGGAGTCAGGTATGTCAGCCACCCAGTCAAACTCTTCAAACCAGCCAAGGGAAAGGACAGACGCATCACTGCTAAACGGCCCAGAGCACAGGAGAGGGCTGTAAGAGGCAGGACTAGAGGTCTGAACTTGGAGCAAACCATATCACAGCACCTTGGCACAAGATTCACCTGCAGTTCCCCATACTGTACAGTTCCCAGCTTCCTTCCAAACTCATAATCTCTTCATGTCTGCCAACAGCAACCAGGAGCCTGTAGGGTCAAAGGCATCTAAACAGAAACTATTTCAGAGCTTCATACTTCTCCTCTACCTTCCTGCCTGCATGGCTTATGCCCCTCTCAGTGTTTCACAGAAGACTTTAACTGTTGCCATTCCTGTCTGGGCCTTGTCCTGTATCTTTTCCTGAGCCTGGGATAGGAATTAGCCAGCTCTGCCACAACTCTTGTCTCTCCCTGTTGACACACCTCTCAGCCAGCAAATAAGAGCCCCTGTGGGCACAGATTCACCTTCCTTGAGACAATGGAGCCAACCAGAACATCCTGCACCCAGCCCATCCCTGGATGTGTTGGCAGCACAGGGTTCTCCTCTCCATGACCCATCACACCCACACCACAGCCAAAGGGATGCTCCCATTCCCTGTTCACCTGCTCCTTCTGCCCTCCACAACCCCCAACCAGCTGCAGTGAGGATGGGGAAGGACCAGAAGAGAAATTGTGTAGAAATTTAGATGTACTGTACATCACTTAGATCTTTCTTCGTGGGTCAGGTGAGGTGTCATCTCCATGACACCATCTTCCTAAATACAGTTTTTCCTAGGACAAGAACAAAGGTGTCTACAGTGAAAGAGGACAGGCTTGGGCACGGCACAGGGTAGACCTTTACAGTTCTGTGAGCACGTCCTCTTTAATAACTCTGGGTAATTTCTTTTTTGAAAATAACATAGTCCTGACCCAGGAATAAAAGGGACAAGAAGTAAAGGCAAAACAGATCCTGATTTTGCACTGGTTTTGCACTGCAACCTACTGTATATATACTATATATATATGTATATATATATATGTATATATATTGCACTGAGTATGGTGGTGCAACACCTCATGAAAGACTTTGGACATTTGATGATTGCCCTGGAAGCTGTGCTGAGACACTTCAAGCCCTCCAAATTGCCAACAAGACCTATAGAATATACTGGGGAAGGGCCACTCTCACCCTCCCTTGCCTTCTTGCAGGAGAGATATGCCACATGCATCTTCCCTGGGGCCCTTCCATGAGCCATCTGGGGGAAGCACAGCAACATGCCCAGTGACCACAACCCCAGTACCTGCTTCAGTGGTCCTTTGGTCTTCAGAAGGATGAAGATGGCGTAGAGAGGAATACAGACCATGGAGGAGAGTGCCATCAGCCAGCCCAGCACGTAGCCCCAGGCTGGGTACTCGTACGATTTGTTGTATTTCAAGGGTGTGTACTTGATCAGGGAAAACAGGAAGACACCCTGAGGAGCAGAAAACACGGACTTAAACAGAGCAAAGAGAGCAGCCAAGCCCAGCAGCCTGGCCACCCTGCAAGCACCATCTGTGTGGCAGTGAGTGTGCTGTCCTGTATGAGCTAGAGTCGACCTGGCTACATATGGTGAGCAGAGCTTGGTGCATGCTGGCTGCACAAGAAGTTACCTCTGAGCCAGGGCCAGGCATCTCCAGAGTGTAAAGCCTTCAGGCTTCCTAAGAGTTCAGTGTAAGCAAAGTTGACAGCAACTCTGAGGGTCCAGCAACATTGAGACAGCAATTTATTCATATCAAAGCCAGGAATTGTTGTTCTCCCTGGCAGAAGCCCTCCAGAAGCAACATATGTGGGCACGGATTTACCCATCTCAGGGCTCTCTAGCTACAGAGCTTTCAGATGATTTGGGCTGGCTCAGGCTTGATTTGAAAATTTCCCTGATTTTAAAGTCCTGCTGGAGCCTAAGGATGAAGGACTAGGAATCTTTTGTAAGTTGTAGCTATAGATCCCATCTGTGTTCCCACTGAGGTCAAAGAAAACAACTCTCAACATCAGATGCAGGAGCAGAATTTGGCTCAGAATTCATGTAAAAAGCCAGTGGAGCAAGACTGGACATAAATTCAAAACAGGCAAGAACTTGCCTGACATTGGGTGCATTTTCTTTAAACACAGTCACAGAAGCTTTACAAGTAGTTTAATAACATAGAAAGCTGTGGAAAACACTTCTGAACCACAGGCAATCCCAGGAACACAGGCTGAAGCAAGTATTTCAGAACAGGGTAATTCTCACTAGTCTTCTATTCAAAAGCAATTTGACCAAACCTCACCAGGCTTTTAGGATATATTTCCCTTTGCCTTCACAGTAAACAAGTGGCTTTTCAGGCTCAGTTAACTGTCCAGGCAAAACATAAGGCTTTACTTTACGAAAGAAATAAATAGCCACCTCAGCTTATGGACAAGCTTCTCCTTCTCCATAGCAGTTTGAAAAAATTACAGCAGCATCTTGGAGAAAAATCAACCTTTTTTACTGGGAGCTCAGGGACCCAGAGTAACATACCATGCTGCCATAGTTGCACTTACCAAGCACAGACCTGGGGTGAACACCAGCCAGCAGATCTTGATCAGGGGCCATGGCCGGAAACCAATCATGTCCTCAACGTTGTCGTAGAAGCGGTCGGCACCTTGGCACCAACCATCACAGAGACAAAGGCAGAGGTCAGATCACTGTTGTTTCCTCCAACCACTATTCACATCAGATCCCAACTTCCTTTATCCTCGGTGTTTACTCCTGGGAAAAACATGGCTACCCTAATAATAGAGCAGCAGGTGGTGGGCTTTTCTGGCGTTGAAAAGGCCCATCTGTGGCTAAATAGAGATGGAGGTTTTTAACTTTATCCATAAGTTGTCAGAAAGCTTGACATAGAAGAAACACACAGTCCCTCAGAGAGCAGCAGCTGTAAGTGAGAGGATGCAGCCCATGTACTGGTAAGGGCTGGCACAAGGAAAGGAGGAGTTGTCTGGTTTATAGATCAGTAAGGAAAAGCTCTTGCAGGTTGAGCACATGGGATTACATGAGTCCAGAGTGCTAAGAGGAACAAAGAGAATAGGGAACATCTAACAAAACCCTCCCTTTGTAAACAGATATGCTGTTATGCCTGTCAAGAATCCCCCCAGAGCTGGGCATGACCCCTGTAATCAAGCGCCTGCCTTCTACAGAACACTTAATTTTTGGCATAAACTGGCAATCCAAATTCTTCCAGAAACCAAACCTTCCATCTGCAAATGCTGCTGTGCTCTCCAATGAGAGCTGTCCAGTAGATGCCTATCTCCTTCTTGTCTCCTCATTAATTTCACTTACTGAATTATGTTGTTCAGAGTATGTGGGACCCACCTGAATCTCATGGTGCACTGAGTGGGATATGAAAAGCATCTAAAAGTCCTGCCACTGGCTGGATTCTAACCATTGACTCTTCCTAGCTCAAGGCACAAAGAGAAAATGGATGAAATATCATACAGAGACAACATAATGCAGATGGACTTCAGCAGACCTTGTAATAAGCTCTAGGGCATCTTCAAGGATCAAGAGCCTAATGTTGGCCAGACAGATATTTAAAATGAAGAAAAATCAAAAAGTCATTCGTAAGATGGATAAGATTCCCTAACACCTTCCTAAATAGAACTAACCAGAGATGCTATAGCAGACTGCCTCGGGTAAAATAATACAACAATATTAGATTAAAAAAATGGAGATAGTCTATCCAGAAAAAGGGTTACCAGTTAAACAGCTCTAGGATGAAATAATAGCGTATTTGTCTTATTAAAGTTTTATCACAGTGCTTAGCTGACAAAGAAGGATTCTGCTTTTGGGTTTTCATCCACCTGTGAACTCATGGCCACGCCATGTTTTTCACCTGCAAGGGCACTGAGACCTTGCTTCTTTGCATCTTAACACCAGAAGGCTGGCCTGGGCAAAATATGTACCTAGAGAACTGGCCACACTTGTGAGTGTTTGGGGTTTGGTGAGTTTTATTTTGGTTTATGGCTTTTATGTTTCAGAATTAAATTCCCATATTATGTTTCCTTTAAATATATATTTTTTCTACAAAAGCACATTATGTATGGGTTTCTATTTTTTGTAATTTTTTGCAGTATTTTCTATACCCCATGACTAATGCTTGCAGAAAATCTCTTTTAAACCCAGATTTTTGAAGTATTTAGACTGGAGGGGGGTAGTTCTCTGAACACCTCACGGTGTTGAGTTGGTGAGTTAACAAGTAGCCTCAAGCAAAGACAACAAGCTGTGGCATATCAAGGGACATGCAACCTTGTGTGGGAGCCCAGCCTACACCAGAGAACCTCCAAGCTGTAAATATCATGAGGCTTCAGATAGCATTGCTAAAAATATACTAGGAATGAAAGGAGATGGTATATGAAATTTATTTTGCCAAAAAGCTGAAATTATCTACAGGGTGAAAAAAAAAAAAAGATATACAAATGACATGAATTGCAGTTCAGAATATGAGTATAGCACAGTGTCTTACACCATATAGTGTTTCCACAGAAACACAGTGTGATGTCAGAAGCGACAGATAAATTAATTAATAATACAACTTTGTAGCAGATAAAACTTCCCTGCAAATTTGGATGTAGGATCTAGTTAAAGAGACATAACAATTAAAGAAATACAAAAATGCCAAACAAAAAGGAGAACACAAACACATCCATCCTCCACCAAGAAAACAATCCAAAACTAAAGCTGTTAGTTATGACGAGCCTCCACCAGTCCTTATCCCTCTTCTCTGCAGTACAGCCATCAGGTCCTGCATTTCTGTGGCCACTGTGGCAGTCAGTGGGTGATGTGGTGAAATACAATGGAGACTGACAGGAACATTCTCAGGAAGTATATGAGCAGGAGGTTTTATATATTCTAAGTTTTACAGGCAGAGGAAAAAAGTAATTAAACTTAAGAAGTCATCAGTTCAATCATTCAACATTGCCTTTGCAAGCAAATTAGAAGCTGAAGGACATGTGCTGGAGGAATGTGCCCTTCCTTCCCAGCACATTAGAAGGATTAGATAAAGCTCCTGCAGAGAAAACCATAAAGACTTCTCCAAAGAGATTTTTGTTGGAATGAACAAAGAGGGTTTCTGTTATCTGCAATATCCCAAGACAAGGAAGAATGGTATGCAGGCACCAGACAGTTAACCATGCATGCTGGTACCACTTCTCTTGTGCTGATCAATCCCACATACCTTTAAAGTGGTTGCATGCTTTTCTGACAAATCATTTAATTTTGCCACATAAATTAACGAAAATAAATTTCACATTAATCCAACTAGAGATTTGCTTATATCTTCATGTCTTGTCCTTATGGAGCCCATCTCATTTTATGTAGCTTATAACAGTGAGACCCAAACTGAAAGGGACAAAAATTTGATTTTATTTTTACAAGATTCAAAAAACAGTGAGTTTCACAAGTCTGCTACTTCAGAATCTATGAGAAATCCCTCCCTGTCTTTTCTTCTAATCTGCATTTATTTGCATTCATCTATACCAAACTTCATCCACAATATTTCAATAGGTGATGACCCTGGCTCCCTGCCATGGAGCTGAGCTTGTATCTGCTCCCTCCCTGTCTCAAACCTGCAGCATCAACACCTGCACCAAACCTGTGCAAAGAGCCAGCAACGGAGGCCTTGTGCCACTGCAACCACTGCAGATCCACCGGGTACCAGGTGCACAGGGCAGACCCTTTATTGTCCATAAATAAGCATGTAAGGTTGCCTGTACCCAGTGCATCTGAGAGGATAAGGTACAAGGAGCCAGTGCAAACCCGACAGGCAGCATCCTGGCAAAAGGAGGCTGCTGCTTCTGGAAGCTACACTGCATGTAAGCAATAGAGCTAGAGAGAGATTTATCACAGCAAAACACAGGTTTGCCCTGGGGCCACCCACAGGTACCCACTGGCATCAGTTTGCTTCAGCTTTGTAAATGGTCCTAATGATTTTAGCGCTGGCTGTCCTGCAGTGATTGAGGCCCTTGCTTTCCCCTGGAACAGCTAATTCTAATGTGCATGCTGTGACTGCCTGCAAAACATCCTGTCTGCAGCACATTTCAGTAGCATCATGTTGTGAATCCCAGCGCTCAAAACCCATGCCTGCTTATAGAAGGGCTGCTTGCCCCAAAGTGGAAGGGAGAGAGAAGGAGGGGCATGGAGGGGACCAAAATCCCTCCAGGACTCCTCTCTGGGAAACATGACCAGCAGGTCCGATGCTGCACAATCCTTTCACAGGCAGAGAGCAGCACACGAGGAAATCCTCAGATCTTTGGGAGAGCAGCTGCCTGGCAGCAGAGGGAAGCTGCCAAGTGGTGGGTGGTTGGCGTATGTGCTGGGAGAGGGGAAACTCAGAACGCATATTTGTGTTAGCAGAAATGTTGTAATTCTTCGCAGGGTAAGCAAGAGGCTCAGCCCTGCCAATTCTAATGCTGGGTTAAAAAAAAACCAACTTTAATCAGCACCAGGCACTTCTTTTTCCATTAAAATGCCTCACCCTGGCCCTCTGACTACATTTTGGATGAGAATCTTCCCAATGGATGCAAAGCAGAACATGAAGAGGGTAAAATCCCACTGTGTGGAGTGATACAAATGAACTTGTGGGGGTGAGGAAAAGGGCCATTTCTCTGACCCCAGTTACTCAGTTTCCCTTCAAGGCTGCTGGGGCAGCACCATCTCTCCTGCTACTCATTGTCTGCCATTGCTGCTGTCCATGGGTCATCAGAAAAGGCATGTGGCCTCTGTGGTGGTAAAAATGCCAGGGGGGCTGCATTCTTTAAACCATAATTCTGTTTAATGAATTAACCTAGCACAGTGTGACGATGAAGCCCTGTCACAGAGGGATGTCCCTATAAATCCCAGAAGGACTGGGCAGAAGATGCCTCTAAATTAAAATCTGGTCAGGGTCTGGTATTGCAAGCTGTCAGGTGAGCTTTCCTTGCAGGACATCTCTCTAAAATAAACTTTTCTTATACAACTGCTTCTCTTGCATTCCCTGGAGGTCAAATCCAAGCAGCTGGATTGGCTACCATTTCAGTAAGACAGGAGTTCATCCAGACTAGCACTTCGCTCCTGCTGTACATAAAGCATTTGGAGAAACTGATATCCTTCATCAGCACCTGCCCTGCAGCCAACGCAACCTCTACAAAACTGTAAGCACCAAAGAGAGCACACAGGGACTGTAATAAGGCAAAGGTGGTACCAAATGAAATTGGTAGGTGGCAGAATTAAAACAAGCAAAGAGAGTGACTCCTCACACAACACCTAAGCAAGCCATGGAACTCCTCGCTGCAGCATTTCAATCAGGAAAATTAACAGAAGAGAAATAAATAGATTTCACTCCTGGCTGTGGAAATCCCTGGGCAACAAGCTGAGTATTGCACCTGACTTTAGGACCCTCAGCACAAGAAAGACATGGACCCGCCACAGTGGGTCCAGAGAAAGACCATGGAAATCATCAGAAGGCTGAAGCATCTCTCCTATGAAGGCAGGCTGAGAGAGTTTGGGTTGTTCAGCCTGAACAAGAGAAAGCTCCAGGGAGATCTTGTTGCAGCCTTTCAATATATAAAGGTGGCTTATAGTGACATGACAAGGGTTAACAGTTTTAAATTGAAAGAGGATAGATTTAGAGAGGATATAAGGAAGAAATTTCTCACTCTGAAGGTGCTGAGACACTGGAAACAGTTGCCCAGAGAGGTTGTGGATGCCCTATCATTGCAAATGTTCAAGGCCACGTTGGACAGGCCTTTGAGCAACCTGGTCCAGTGGAAAGTGGCAGGGAGGGTGGACTAGATGACCTTCCAACCCAAACCATTCTATGGTTCTATAAGTTTTTAAAAGTTGGAAGAACATTTACAGAAAGTATAATTCCTAATTTTTCTTCTATTGAATTCCTCCATGATCATCCACTCCTGGCCATTGAGACACAACATGATGTTGTGCTTGCAGTCTTTTCCTTAGGTTAGGGTGGCAGTGCTGCTTGAAGTAGTTGGAACTAGCAGATGTGTGACAGTGGGATGTTTAACATCTGGTCTAAGCTGGCATCTACTATAGCTTTGCACAGTCATACAAGTACCAAGATCACGTAGCTCCACAAAGCTAAGGAGAGAGAGCAGCTTCCCTGTATCACACACAACTAGGTTCTTTGCCCAAAAACCATCAGCCTCGACACAAGCTTCAAAGAGACGAACTGAGCACCCAGGAAGAGACCTCCTGTAGGATATCAGAGTATACTCTTCTTACTGCACATACTAACAAGCAGTTGATTTCTTCCTCATAGTTCACTGGGCTCAGTTTAATCCTGCTCCTGAGTAGTTTAGTTACAGACCTCACTGAGAGCCAAAGCAGGCTCTCCTATTTCTTTTGGGATTGCCATCACAGCCTGTGCAAACAGGATGAGTATATCATCAGAGAAGTGACACACAGCAGGTCTGCATTCTGCATTTTGCGTTCAATTAACTGACTAAACTAAATGCACAGTGTAAGTTGGCAGGGACAAACACCAAACAACAGCAAACAATCCACTATAGCTGATTTTCTAATTCAAAGGGCAGATGGGAAAAACAGCAAGGTAGTTCAACAGGAGTCACCTACAGAGAAGGAAAAAACATTCCTATTCTAAATGTGGAGCAATTAAGAAATGTTGCAAGGAAACACAGTGAAAACCAGACAAGAAAGAGGGTAATTACAGCATTATTTTTGCCCCCTGAGGATCTTTTCTATCCATTCCCACTTCTCAACTCCCCATTCTTGCCTTGAGAAAGAGCAACATAGATTTTTGTCCTCCACTTACCATACACCCATCCTATACAGATGACTTCAAAAACAGACAGGAAGAGCAGGCATGTGCCACTGGCAGCATAGTAGTCAAAGAGCTGGAAGATGTACATGCCACCCTGTTGAAGAGGTAGAAAAGACAGAGCCATGATAAGACTATTCCATGTCAGGGAAAAATGAGTGAGGCAAACAGAAGAATAGCAGCAGAAACACTGAGTCTAGAGCAGGTGGGAGGAGAGCCTTCTCTTGGGGCTGCCCCCACGCTGTCCCAAAAAGACAGTCAGGCCTGGTGGTAGGAAGAGTATTTCATGCCCGTTTTATGATCCTGCTTGGTTAGACTGGCTTCTCAGTTCATAGGAGCAGAAGCCAATTTGTTTGTTCATTTTAAATCAGTTAGCAAGTTTCCAGCATCATCTCAAAATACCATGCAGCAGCGCAGAACTTTGCACCCAAAAACCTAAGATCTTGAGCACCAGGACATTCAGATACCTCATTTTATCTTTGTCCAACTTTACATACTGCTCAAGGTCCAAGCTCTGCAGTGGCAGAGACATGGGGCTGCCCTCCTGCCTCTGCCTTTGAGCTGAGCCCTGAGGAGTTGCCATCAGCTACCTCTACAGGCCACTGGATGATTTTCATGTGATTTCTCGGAGAGAAAGCTCCTCCAATTCAAGCAGATGCTTTCAAATAATGCTGAACAGCTCTAGACACGCAGTTTCATTCAAATCAATTGCAGTGGGAGCTGCCTTCTGCAGCTCCTTAGCCAGGATCCTGTTGGAGGATCATTCATCACTGCCTAAGTAGTTTAGCAGGAATTAGCTGACACTGCATGGAGGCAGCATGGAGGAGTGCTAAGACCCCCACCCAAGCATGTGGTATGCACACAGAGCACAGCACAGCACACCACTGTGCAGGATGAGATGCTTGACTATCAGCTGCAGAGCAGTGTGAACAACGTGCACATACTGACACAGCTCTGCTCCTTCTGGTCCCAGGGATCAGACTTCCCACGGGCTCAGGCAGGGTTAAGGTGCAGCCATTACTCCCAGGCTCCCCTCCTGCTGCTCTGCTTTGTGTGGAAAGAAGCCAGCAAACGATCACCGCCCTTAGAAGAGCTTGTTTTCAAACAGCTCAGCTTGTTTCAGCGATCAGGTGTGGCAGGTCTCCTGGGAGGCCAATAAGCTGACTAGGGGGTGGAACCCAGCACATGGACGAGGGATTTAAACAACTGCTGGGAGCGCCAGCCACCCGGAGTGTGGCGAACAGGGATGTGGCACTTTTTGACGTGGCACTTTTGTAGCGAGGCAGTTCGTACAGGCAGGGCAAGCAGGAAGGGCACAGCCACCTCCCAGCACTCTCGGGTGAGCTTCCCCCGCCCCCGAAGGGATCAGTGTTGGGCCCAGTCCTGTTTCATATCTTTATCGATGATTTAGATGAAAGGATTGAGTCCACCACCAGCAAATTTGCAGATGACACTAAGTTGGGGGGGAGTGTCGATCTGCTGGAAGGCAGGAGGGCTCTGCAGAGGGACCTGGACAGGCTGGAGAGTTGGGCTGATTGCAACGGGATGAGGTTTAAGGCCAAGTGCCAGGTCCTGCACTTTGGCCACAACAACTCCCTGCAGCCCCACAGGCTGGGGACAGAGTGGCTGGAGAGCAGCCAGGCAGAGAGGGAGCTGGGAGTTTGGATTGACAGGAAGCTGAACATGAGCCAGCAGTGTGCCCAGGTGGCCAAGAAGGCCAATGGCATCCTGGCCTGGATCAGGAACAGTGTGGCCAACAGGTACAGGGAAGTGATTCTTCCCCTGTACTCAGCGCTGGTGAGGCCTCACCTGGAGTACTGTGTCCAGTTCTGGGCCTCTCAGTCCAGGAAGGATATTGAGGTCCTGGAGCAGGTCCAGAGGAGAGCAACAAGGCTGGGGAAGGGACTTGAACACAAGTCCTATAAGGAGAGGCTGAGGGAGCTGGGGTTGTTCAGCCTGGAGAAGAGGAGTCCTAGGGGAGACCTCATCACTCTCTACAACTCCCTGAAAGGAGGTTGTAGCCAAGTGGGGTTGGTCTCTTCTCCCAGGCAGCTATCAGTAAGAGGGCATGGTCTTAAGCTCTGCCAGGGGAGGTTTAGGTTGGATATTAGGAAGAAATTCTTTACAGAGAGGGTAATCAGGCATTGGAATGGGCTGCCCAGAGAAGTAGTGGATTCTCTGTCCCTGGAGCTTTTTAATATAAGACTGGATGTGGCACCTGTAGTGCCATGGTCTAGTAACCACAGTGGTACTGGATCAAAGGTTGGACTTGATGATCTCAGCGGTCCCTTCCAACCCGGCTGATTCTATGATTCTATTTGCACAAAGCTGTGTGTCAAGCAGCCTCTCTGGGCTGTGGGACCATCTCTCTGGAAGGCTCAGTTGTGCAGAGAGTGCACCAGCATCACACAGGGTCAAAGCAGCACTAGCTGTGAGAGACACCAGCTAATGCATTAGAAATTAAGGATAATTAACAGCACCAAAGACAAGCTTGCTGTCTCTGCCCAGACTTCCAGAGCTGTGTAGCAGGGGTTTTGGTGCTTAGCTGTATAACCCAGCTACTCCTTTCTTACCTCAGTGACCAGCAGTAAGCCCAGCAGGTAGCATATGACTGCAATGGCCAGGATCAGCAGCTCCCGACGCCCCTTCTTCCGAAACACTCCTGGGAACATGTCAATAATAGCTGTCACCATGCTTTCCACACAGACAAACTGCAGAAGAAAACAGGTCAGAAAAATCAGTGCCTCTCCTTCCCCAAGCACACACTTCCTCTCACCGTCCTTTTTTGCCTCCCACCAACCAAATCCTTGTTTTTTCATTTTGCCTTTTCATGTCTTGCTTCCACCAAGGGCCGTCAGAAACAGAGGAATAAGGCCTGATTCTCCAGGTGGAGGGGCTGAGGTGCTGCAGAGCAGAGCTTGAGCAGAGCACCCTGCCTGGCAAACATGCCAAGACACCCCCTGCATCCCTCATCCCAGTATGCCAGGGTTGCACACTGTGCTCTGCAGGGTGCTCTGCAGAGGTTTGCTCCTGGCGTAACAGGGGGGTGAGATGGTAAGAGATGGGCACATCAGTGAGAAGAGAACACAGGGGTTGCTCTGCTGGGATGCAGCTGGGAGAAAACAGCCCCATTCCTGCTCCCAGACTGCCCTGTTCTGTGCCAGGCCTCCCTCTGTTGTGTGCACAGAGTCAGTGCCAGCAAAAAGATGGGAAGGGATGTAGCTGGGACATCCTCAAGTACACACAGGGAGAAGGACACTAAACAGAGATGCCAGCACATGTTACCACTGGCCTGCCACTGGCCCTGGCTCTGAGCTCCCTCAATGTGATAGCGCTGTGTACAAGGTAGAGAACATATGGAAGGTACCAGCAAGGCACAAACCCACCTTATACTTTACAATGACATTGGGGATTGCTCAGGGTGGGGACAGGCATCTGGGTGTTAGATGAGATGGGGTGTTTGCTGTACCTGGCTGTCCAGTCCCAAGAAGATCAGCATGAGGAAGAAGAGGCAGGACCAGAGCTGAGACACAGGCATCATTGTTACTGCTGTTGGATAGGCTATGAAAGCCAGGCCAGGACCTGCCAACAGACCACAGGATGACCACGTGTGCCACTCACACCATCACCTGCCACCACTGCCCTGCAGCACAGAGTAAGCTCACATATTTCTTCAAAGTTTGTATCACCATGGCTTCTTGCCCACACAGGGCTGAAAGTTGTGTCATGGAGCACTGGTCCTGCAGACCTTTCTGCAGACTCCCATAGCGATAGAAGATGTAGATAACATCTTGGGCTTCACTTCAGAAAAGGGCCCTTCCCTTCAGGCTCTTTGTTTTCCCTTGGCTCTGAAGTCTCAGAAGAACCTACCTGATTCAGCAACTTCTGCAATGGGTATGCCCTGCTCTCGAGCCATGAAGCCCAGCACTGAGAAAATGGCAAAGCCAGCAACAAAGCTGGTGGCACTGTTCAGGAAGCAGAGCATGATGCAGTCCCTGCAGGGAGGAGACCAGAGAGAAATCAGTGTTTCCCGCTGCAGAATGGTTCCACTTGGGATCGTGTCTGTACTCAGCTTCCCTAGTCAGGCAGCATAAACCAAGAAACAACAATGTTGGTTTTGAACTCCCTCAGAAGTAAAAAGCTCAAGACAAAGCCAAATATCAACCTACCTACCTTGTGCCTCACTGCACGTGGCACAGAGAATGAGGCACCACCAGTGGCTTGTGAATAGGATGACACAATGATATACACAGGGACATGGCAACAAAAAAGCTGACAAGAGTCAAGAGAATAAGAAAAACAATAGAGAAACTGGGGAAAAGAGCAAATTAGAAGAGGGAAGAGGTTGCAAAAGTAAACACAGGCAAGAAAGAGGAGCATCTGAAAGCATGAACACATACAGGTTCAGCAGTTCTGGTAAACAAGGGTTCATGGGCTAAACCTAATCCTCACCTGACAAAGGTTGTGTCTACACTGTCTTTATTAACTATATTCATATGGAGGCTGAAATGTGCTGTGCTCCTTTTCCTGAAACTTTTGTGCACTTGTTCCCTGCAAAAATGGGCCACCAGTCTGAGCTGGTTGGGCTGGAAGCCCCACACCCCAGGATCCTGCCTGGGCAGCTGCCAGAGCTGACCCACAGCATCAGCTGCTATGGGGCAGTGTGGACACCCAGCACATTTGGACCACCCAGAGCTAAGATGCCAGTGCAAAGCACCAAAGGAATTAGAGGAAGGCATCAGTGCACTGCTGCATTGGTGACACATACATTCCAGGAGAGCCAGAGGAAAGTATTAACTGCCCGACCAACAGCCTGGCAGCACCTACTGGAGAACAGAAGGAGAGATGATTGAAGTCTCCCAAGTACAATTCCATTTTCCTGTCTGTGCTGGAGCAATACATGAAGGAAGAACAAAGCCCCTGCTTCTCAGGGCTCTGTAGAAGGTGTCAGAAGTGCTCCTTATGGCTCCACTGAGCCCCATGTCAGGCCATGGATAAAATAGATCTGTAATCCAAGGGCATAGAGAAGGCCAGACAGACTTGATTAATCTCCTTGATAGGGTCAAAAGGCCACTGGCAGTACATTACTCTGATGACAGTAAAGCACCTGCCTTCCTCTTTGTACCACCTCCCCTGCCTAGCAAGTGAAGTCAAACTTGGCTGTGCCACCCCTGCCCACACACCCTGTCAAAATAGACTGTGGTGTCTATACAGTGGCTGGAGACACTTCTCTATTTTCATTCCTCCCCCTCCTCCAAATCTCCCATTTCCAACCTGACTCGTGCAGGAGAGCACAACTAAAGCCATTTTCTGGAGTTCCTCTGTTCCCTCAGCCACTCTCCATCCCTGTGCTGTCCTCCACAGCCCCTGTGCTCTGAGCAGCTCACAGTCAAAGCAGTGTGACCCAAGGTCTCCCCCAGCTGCCTCTGATGCAGCTCTGTGCTGTTTGTCTCTTACCAAATTTCCAGAAGGATACAAGAAGTTTAGGCTCCTCTTACCTGTAACAGTTGTTGGTGTATTTGTTGTAGCTGCCCAGAGCTGTCAGGCATCCCTGGCAGATGGCATAAGAGAAGAGGATTTGAGTGCCTGCATCCATCCAGACCTGGAACAGAAAAGGTCAGTGGTCTCCAGACCTGACAACAACAAAACTAAAAGGCTGTGCCCTGCCAACAACAACCCCTCCAATCATGGAGAAAAAACCCTGTGAGACAGAGAGGGGATCAGTGAATGTAGAAACTGGGATTCCTATCTGGGAAAAATGAGCTATAGGACTGGAAATCCTCTAGGAAAAGTCTCCTGAGAGGACCGTATTTTCACATCCCACTCAAGGTGACATCACTTTTCCATCCTGCATTCAGGGTGGAGATGGCACCCCTGATGGCATGGCTCCAGCAGAAGCTGACACTGTTGGAGTCTGTGGTCCCTATGTATCCCAGGGTTTGCAGAGCCACTTGTGAGTCACACCAAACAAGACTGTGATCAACAGTCAGTGTACTCCCTTCTCTGCTCCCTAATCTAGTTTCCAGCATACCTGAGGCCACAGTGCAGGGTGAAGGGCAGAAAATTGCCAAGCTGAGAGATTCCAGGCCAGTGGGCTGTCACACACGCAGGTTCCCCCTTGCTCTGGCATTGCCTGGGAAAAGCTGAGTGGGCTTCACCACTGCCCCAGCCCTCTCCTCTGCAGAGGAGCTGAACTGTGAGCCGAGCTGCAGCTCTGCTCTCAGGCCCTCCCAGGGAAAGCCCTGAGCTGTGAATTAGCAGGAAGGCAGGGAAACAGCCCACCTTTCTGATCTTCTCCAGGTTCCTTGCTCACCTTCTTTTTCCTCCAAGCAGCCCCCAGCTGCAAACATCCAGGCAGATGGATGAAATTTTGTAGCCTTCAAAGAATCCTAGCCCAGGCACTGCTGCCTAAATTCACACAGATTTCTCATGGAAAGGTAAATACACGGCAGCCCTTCAGGCACGGACACACATCCCACTTTAACCAAAGCCCCACATTCTGCCAAAACTCAGTAGCAGGATCTTACTCCTATGCTGGGTTGCAGCAGCCTGGAAAGACCATGTCAGCTTTAGTTAGGCTGTGAAAGATAGGGAGGTTTCCAGGGAATAAGCTCTGACCGAGAATAAAACACACTCAGCCCCAGTCACCCCACTGTTATTTATTTTGATATCAAAATGCCATTTACATTCAGTTGGCTTTCTGCTTTCAGTGCACCACAGATTTTCTATTGACAACACACAGATGCATCTGAAAGCAATTGGGGGGGGGACAACAGTGGGTTTGGCAGCTGATTAGGAAGCAGCTGGGGCTTTGGGCATCTGGGAAGACACGTAAGGTCAACTGAGACTGTGGGCTAAGCCTGTTGCTTGGCTGCCTCCACGAAATGATTCAGCAGTGGAATAATTAGCAGCAAGTGTCATTTAAATGCTCTTCTGGGAGGGGGTCAGCATTAACACCTCCGTGGGCATTGCTGAGCCCTCATGGGGAAGAGAAGCAACCTACTGCTGCAGAAAGGTGTGGGAGCAGACACCCCAGGGAGATCCTCCACGGGGGACCCTGTGCAGCCCCCAAGGGTGCTGCCCACATCTTGCTAATTTGGGCTACCTTGCAGGTCCTGGGTTTGTCTGCACCCTCTGCCCTTTTTGTCATCTCTGACCCTATTTTTCATCTCTGGGTACACAACATCCTTCTTCCCAGGGTGGGGAAGGTTTCCATGAGCTCCAGTGAGTGGTGGCAGAGATTGACCCTTTGGCCAGGCCCTGACTCAGGCAGGTGGGGCCAGCCCCCAGGACAGGTGAAGGGAACTTATTGCCCAGCTGGGGCACAGCCCATGTTACATGCCTTCAGTCTCTGCAAGCAGAGGGACTCCACACTTCTTGGGAGGGCCCTGTTGGACCCAAACAAAGTGCTAACCAGGCCAGAAAAAAATGAAAAATGGTAGATTATATCCCCACCATTCCTTAGTTATTTGCATTTAACAGTTAGGAAAACCATCTGTTACATGCTGAATATTTGATACACTCTTCTGGTTTTGCTGAGCCCATGAGTGGAAATGATCTAATATGCCCATATGCTGCAGATCATGAGCAAAAAGGCTGTGCTGTGCAGGGGGACTAGACCCCTCTCAGCAATTTTAAGGATTCTGGTTCTTTGGTCTCCTTTCAGAGAAGACAGCTAGATGGTCAGTCAGCATCAGATCCAACGGCCAGGGCACTGAAAACATTCTCATGGTCAGCATTTGCCTGACACCCCACCCACCTGCGGGTCTGCCAGCCTGGAAATGTCTGGCTTCAGGTAGAAGATGATCCCCTCGGCAGCACCTGGCAGCATGACTCCTCGCACCAACAGAATGATGAGCATCACGTATGGGAAGGTGGCAGTGAAGTAAACGACCTGCAGGCACAGGGAAACAAGAGGAGAGAGGGTCAGCAGGGAGGCAGTGCAGGCACTACCTCATCTCATCTCGTCTGCAGGCCCCCACCCCAGCAAAGGTCCCTGGGCTCTGCTGTTGGCTATAGCTGCTACTGCTTGCATAGGAGAGGGGTGGGAAAGAAATTAATCAAGGTTATGTGTCACTGGTGATTTAGTTAATCTACATTTTGTTCCTCATCCAAGACTCTGCCACTGGTTGCTCTGCTTTGTTTTCTCTTCCCAGTCAGTGTAATTTCCCTGCTCTCCAGCTGTTCTCTTCATCTTTCTAGGGCTGCAGAAAAAAACCAGATCTCTTCCTGTCACTTGAGTTTTAATGAGGAATTATTAAAATGGTCCTATGCCCAGCAAGAGTTTTCCAAATTAAATAGGAACTCTTGCTGCCCCATTTGAGACACCTCTGAGGAGTCTCATTTCCAGGAGTGCTCATGCATCAGTCTCATCCCTTCAATGCCTCTGAGCTCACAGTTAAAAAATGGGGGCACCTCAAAGCCTTTAAAGAAAATGTAGACCGTTACTTCTGTAATACTTTCTTTTCAGTTCTTCTTGTATGTGATGTAAATAAATATTACAGGAGAATTAATCATCACTAATCCATTGCCTAAGGTAACATATTCTTTGTGTTCTATTTGTAAAATATTTGTGAGCAAGTTGCAACTTCCTAACATTTATTCATTACTAAAATTTATCCAAGTAATGTGAAGGCTTGTTTACTCTGTGGATTCATAGTGAGAGGCCTGAAATGAAATTTTTTTTGTGCTTAGTGATAATTGGTTGAATAAGTGACAGTACGTGGTACTTTTGCTGTTCCTTGATTGAATGGGAATGCAAACACTTTGAGCACAAGTATTAAAATCTACCTTCAGAAATAACTTCTGGTGAGCCTTTATACACATCTGCTGAATGCATGAGGAAAGGAAACATGGAAAGAGCACAAAATTGGGCAAAAATAAAAGAAAAAGACTTCTAAAGAAAATTAGTTTTCATGGACTTTTTGAAATTATTTTCCTGATGTCACTATTGTTTCTTTGAGTTTGGATTCCTTAAATAACAGAAGCAGAAACATAAGAGTCTGGCAGGGTTATCTGACTTAGAACAGTCTCTCAGGCATGCACAACCCCTTGTTTAATCTGCAGCTGTTGAACAGAGTTATGCACCTACTCAGAATTCTTGGGTCTTCTCTACTGCATATCCTAATACCTTGTCAGTGAAGAAAGAGAAGGAAGCAATTGAATGTTTTGACAGTGCCCCTGTAATACTCAAAATTACTACCTGCAGAGAAGACAACTGACCTGTTTGACCTGTAGTGTATTTTGGGACAGAAAACCCCACCCTGTGTTGTTGTACCACGTCCATAACATCTGGCTGGTAAAAAGTAAGCCCTGTGCCCTAAAACTTGTGATGGAAAAATCTTCTGTAGTTTCAGGAAGACCATTCCAGCTACTGTGTGCACCCACTGTTTTCTCTCACTTTCTGGCCTGGTCTTGCCAAACCCTGTTGGCCCAACCAGCCTGACTGAACTTTAGTTTTCTCCTTTTGCAGGGAAATTTTGTGCACCAGGGCAGCACCGAGTGAAGGAGAGACTCAGTGGAGAAAGCTGAGAGCTGAAGGGAACCTGGGGTGACTTAATTACACTTCCATGCAGATCAAACACCCTCTCAAGATTCAATCTCCCAAGATCAGCATGATGTCTCTTGTGAAGATGGCAAACCAGGGGGCATCAGGGGTTTAAGGTTTAAAATGCAGAGCATTCCCTCTCCCCATAGAAGTGGAGTCTGGCTCTCCCTCCTTGAGAAATGGTGGACAACAGGTCAGCACCAGCAAGAGCCAGTTACCCGCAGAAAGTGGGAAAAATCTAGTGAGCAGAGCAAGCTATTGTCTTGCTCTGCTGAAATGGGTGTCCAGTGCAGTTTTCAGGTAGCAGAAGGGATTTTGCACTGAAATACAGGTGTCCAGTGCTCCAGGAAACCCCTGCCAATGGTAGAGATAGTGACCTGAAGGAAGAAATCTGTTGCAGAAATTGATCCCCCTCCCTTTGCCATTGGGACATCCGCTGGATACCCACAAGACTCAACCATCATTAATAACCCACCCATCTCATTGTGGCTCCAGGGAGGAAAGTGGTCCTGAGTAAGTCAAGGCCATGGCAGTGTCCTTAACACCCAGCCCAAGGCATCACACACTCATTCACTCCAGAAGGAAAACCAGTCCACCTGCTCTACAGGATCAACATGGGCAGGGAGCTCTGGCTCCTGCCTCACAAGCAAAATGCAGAAAGTGACCTTCAGAGCCAAAAAATACACAGGCAGGGAGAAGAAAAAGGAGAGTACAAAGACACTTCTCTCACTGCAAGTATTTTGCAGGATAAAGAAGCAGGAGAGATTCATTATCTATTCACTGATCTGGTTACAGGCAGCAGCTTGTCTGTTTTGCTCAAGTGTTTAATTACTGCCAGGGATGGGAAGTTTGCCACTGCAGATGATTTTGTTAAAAACACCAGCAAGCTACACCAGGACAACACACTGGCGAGCAGAGGATTCCCAAGGACACCTGGGGAGTATCCATCAGCCACTGTGGGTGTCTGCAAGGGAAAAAGCGACTCAAGGCTCCCCTCAGTTCTTTCCCTGTTCTCCTCTTCCTGTTGGAGCTACTCTTTTATTCTTCCTTTTAGGGGTCAAACACCACTGCTGTAAATCAGTATGGCCTCACCAAGTTTTAGGTTTAACTTTGGTACTGTGTCTCCTGCCTCTACTTCATGAAGAGGGAAAAGAGATTGGGGAAGAAATGTAAGATGGGTACAAGGAGGCTTATGGACTGGGAGGATAATCTCCATTCCTACTTTTCCTGTGGACTTGACCCCTTTCCAGATGCAGAAGTAGCAGATGATCCACGCCAGCAGGAGACACAGAGCCAGCTCCCAGCGCACAGTGCCCAGTTTGTGAATACCATCCGTGAGCCCCAGGACTCGCTTCCTGCCAGTGTCCAGGGACAGGGAGAGAAGCATTAACACCCCAGACCCAACTCACCCATACAGACCTTTCCCATATTACCCCATCCAAAATCTTAGCAGACTATCCACAACACATCTGCCCAGGGCTCCCAGCCATGTGAATCACCCCACCTCTGCCTAGGGCTCCCCTCTCCCTCATTTCTGCAGATGCTGCTCCACCATGTCTTGTAGCTGGCCCAAACTCTCCCACTCTCCCAACTCGTGGTGCCATGCCCTTTGGACCCAAGCTGCACAAAATCAACACCTGCTCCCCATTGCTCCCCCACCCTGGCAGATGCCCAGCACAGACTACTCAACCCAAAGCAGGCCACCAATGCCATCAACACACCAGGCCATCACTCTTCCTCCCTATATACTGCAGACACCCTATATATAAGCATAAATGATCTTTATGATTCCCATGCCCTTCCTTCAGCCTCCTTCCTTGAAGATTCACGTTTGTGAGGGTGGGCCACATGAGAGCTCAGCACTGCAGCTCATGCAGTCCCCAGAAGCCCAACCCCACACTTAGAATTCCTCTGCACACCCTTCTTCAAACCAGTCCCCTCACGGTCCCCTTGCTCTCTCTGCAGAAAACCTGAACAACCATATCAGAGGGGTCTCAGCTCTTGCTGAAGTGTGTGCAAAGAACAGAGCAGGAGAGAGGAGCCAGCACTGTGCAGACTCTTTCTGCAACCGTGGGTGCTTATCATCTTCTGTGTGCCCTGTGGTGGCTGCAACAGACAAAGGACACTCAACCCTCTCAGAGACACTTAAGGACACATAAATGGGGGGGAGGACAAAAACAAACAAACAAACAAACAAAAAATCCCAACTGCTGAAGCTGAGTCCCTGTCACCCCTCTTCTTTACGAGACCTTCCTCAGTAGACTGTGGAGAGGTAGTGTGGCACCAGCAGCTGTTTCAACCTCTCTCTGGGACACTGTCTGGCTGCTGCAAGACCCCTCCCTCAGACAATGCTTTATTGCCTCCAGCCCTGTGACCAAACCTCCACAAATTCCTCCCTGGCATCTCACAAATGCACCTCAGATCCCCACTCTCCAGGGATGATCCTGAGCACCCTGATTGACCACTTCCCTTAGGCAGCAAGCAAGACGTGGTCAGAATAAGGGAACAGGCAGTTTGGTCCTTTCTGTTTCACTGTGGATGGCTGTTCAGTCTGCCCTGGCCCTTCATGCTCACCTGCCAACAGCAGCCTGCAACACCCAGCACATGCATCCCCTGCTTCCAGCAACTCTTCATCTGATTCTGGTGACTCTTTCGGTGGCCACACTCACCCAGGCACCTCAGTGCCAAAGAGAGAACATGCCTGTGCAGGTGTGCACATGAGCACCCTCAGGCAGGCACACCGTGGGGTGTACCCAGTCCTCACGTCCCTGGGCTCTGTGCCAATCTCCTTGGCAGCTCATCGTGCTCCCCATGCTCAGGTCTGACATGTGGCACCTCACTTGGTCCTACAGAGATGCACAGCCCACCACCCAGATACTCCTAGAGCTGCAGCCTTTGGTTGAGAGAGGAGCCTGAACAGAGGGAAAGTGATCACATACTCCCAAAACTCAATCATTGAGGAGGTGGCGTTCGCAGGCAAGGTCCTGTTGTCCAGGCTGGATCTATTCAGAATGTCCACACAGAGATCTACCAAAAGAAAAGGAAGCTGATGAGCCAAAGAAATTCTCTAAGGCTCCTTCATGGGGGATGCTCCTTCCCCTCTGTACCCTAACCCTCACTCTGGCAGCACACAGATCCTTTACCTTGTGCTACAGAGCATCTAATTAAACTTTTGCATCTCATTAAGCATCTCATTAAACTCTGGCTCTCCCCAGCTATGAATCCCAATCCAGCAGTAGCTAGAGGGCTTCAGGAAAGGGAAAGGGGAAGGAGAGAACAATTCCCTGCCAAATGGAATCCAGATGGCTGCAAAATATAGATTATCAAGGGATAGCCACTGTGAGTAGCCAGGATAGAAAATCCCATTCTCTTCCCCCATCGTGTACCATTCCCTGTCCACACATGCATACATATGTTCACACACACCACAGATGTTCCCTTCTACCATCCCCAACTCTGTTACACAGCAGGAAATTACTAAAACCAGAGGAGATGCCATGCATCCAAGAAATGCACCTCATCTTGCATTTCACCAGCAAAAGACAATCCACTGGAAAAACAAGGAAGCCCAGATGTGGCTGGGAAGCTTGTGTCTGTTAAGATAACATCTGTGGCTTTCCTCACAAACAAACCATGCTGGGGGAGCTGAAGGAATAGGATCAGCTCTTCAAAAGGCTGGTTACCTCTGCTGGGATGAAGGGGCAGAGGAAGCTGTAAGTGAATGGCCCATGGGGTGGAAAAATTTAACACATCACAGAAACTATCATCTGCCAAGAGAAAAGGGGAGGGAACCAAGCTGCTGCCAAGCAAAACAACCTGTTCAACACATTAAAAATGTCCTGTCAAGGACCTGAGGTCCATGAGGATTACTTCACATCTACCCCATCTTCCCAGTGCCTTGAGTAAAACCAAAGCCAGGTCTTCTCTGCTGGGTGCAGTTATATGAATTGTGGGCATGAGGAGATGAGATCCCTGGCCAATGTAAAGGTATAGAGGCTGTATGGATGTGATTAAACCAGGAAAACAGTGCCCTTATAGTTTTGTGTTACTGGTTCCTTTACTTGGGGACCTGTACTGGCAAAATTCTCCAGTGCAGGCTTGGCCTGATTTAGCCAAAAGCTGCGAGTGCAGAGGAAACTCTTCAGGCATTGGCAGCAACTGTCCCAGTAACTCTGAAGGAGTGGAGTTGAGTAGGGGAACTGTAAGATAAATAGTTGTACCAGAGCTAATAAAAAGCTCCTGCCACATGAGGAGGACTCGAGATTGGCTTGAAAACTCTCCCACCCACCTCTCCCCCACTTGCCAGAAAATGCAGATTTTTTTTGTGAAATCACATTGCAGCTCATAAGAGCTTCTTATCCAAAGAAAAAAAATATTTTCTACAAATCCCAAATAATTTCTGGGCATCAGAAAGAAGCTAAAAGCTGATCAAGGGAAGGTGTACCTGAGTTCCAGGGGTTATTGCAGCTAGCCCACGGTAGCACTGAATTGAAGGAGCTGAACAGGTAGAAGAGTGCCCAGGACAAGATAACAATGTAGTAAATATTCAGATACCACTCAATGATTTGTGTGGCGTATCCAATTCCTGTGAAGGAAAACAAAGAAGGTGAGGATGGGACTGCCAACCAACTCCCAACACATCAGGTTTGCAACACCAATAACATGGTTCACTAGACAATAGGACAAGACCTACACAAGGGAAAGAGAAAGGATTTTGAGACTGTGTATGCAGACAGGACACATTGTTGGTATGTCTAGACAGGTCTACATTGGAACATCCAGAAAACTACGCTGATGTGAAAAAAATGTTTTGACCACTACAGTGCCACTGCATTGCAGTGCCTCTCCTTCAGGAAAACCAACTCTAGCCTTTAAAAAGACATGGAGGTGAATCTCTTACTCCTGGGAAGACTCAGGGAAAAAATTTTCTCGCAGCCAACATACATGAAGTAAGGTGCTGGGGCCAAGGTACAGACCTGGGAGCACAGCACTGGTCTTGTGCTGACTGTGCCCATTGCTCGCTGAGACATCAGAACCATACTCAGGCCAGAAAGGCCCAACTCATTCCTTTAAAACTGGTTGTCAGTACCCTTTGAGATGCCATTGCTGTTCACCTCCAGGCTGTGCCAGAGGTCTCCAGTGCAGGAGGTCCCGGAGTCCCCAGGGAGTTTCAAATAGGGCTGCACTCCTGTGCTCGAGCAAACTAACCAGGCCTGCAGTCTGCCTGAGCACAGGTTTCCCTGTCTGCAGAAGGTGGGTAATAAGCTCTCCTGTGGACAGCAGAACTGAGGAAATCAGATTCATTAATACATTAACACCATTAAACAACCTTCCCAAGGGCTCCAGAAGTCATGGTTCTTATATCTGTGCCTTAACCTAAACCTCATGCCATCTCTGGGCTGTCAGACCAGTACATGACACGTGATTCCCTCCAGTTTGGATGATGCCAGCCTGCAAAAGCTGCCACAGCAGCCTGGGCACTGCAATGGGCAGGGAAAGCACTATAAACCAGCCAGCTTTCCTCGTCCTCTTCTCACTATTTGTCCTGGACTACATGCAGGTGTTTATGTATTGACACTTCCATCCTCCTCCTGCAAGCTGGCCATCCAATTTCTCCTCTCTCCCAGGCTCTGAGCTTCTCAAAGAAGAGACTGGAGCTCAGCTGGACCAGCACAGCCCCCAGTCAGCACCACACACCCCCTCCAGAGGGGTCAGGGAACTGCCCCTGCACAAACAGCAGTCACCAGGAGAGATAACAAGGCTGGGAGAGAGAAAGGGAGGGAGAATAAAGGAGAAAGAAAAAAAAAAAGAATAATAATAACAACATTTCTGGAAAAGGCTGAGAGTCACTAATTGTTAGAAAGTGCTGCCAGTAAATCCTGTAACTTGACTGACCTTCAAAGATGGGACAGATCTTCCTCCAGGCAGTGACCCCTCCCTGGCTCGTGTACTGCCCCAGTGCCGTCTCCAGGAAGAACAGGGGGATCCCACACGTGAAGAGGAAGATGAGGTAAGGGATGAGGAAGGCTCCTGCAGAGAGAGGTAAGATGCTCCCTCAGAAACCTCTTCAAAAACCTTATTCTCACCACTCCTTGCCAGGTACCTGGGATGACAGCTGGAATCAGCTAGATAAACACAAATGTTTCTCTGAATTAACTGTGCAACCTCTGCTAAAGAGGCAAGGTCTCCAAAGCCATCATTTTTCAGAAAAAAATACAAGGATGGTCTGTCTTCTGCTGCTGCAAGGGTGGTCTGTCTACTGCCAAATGCAGTACTTCTGCATTTGTTCTTGGCCAAAACCTAGAGGTAAAGAGTAGCCAGATAAGGGGATAAAAAAAAGGCAGTGCTGGAGTTCTCCCTGCTTCATGCTTCTGACCTCATTCCAGTTTGGAGCGGGAGTGGGGTGAACCAACTAAGTCCTTGTTTCACATAACCACATTTGTTCTGCCTTTCACGAGAGTCACAGCAAAACTCCCACTTGCCCAGAGGATACAAACCTGGAGGCTGGTGACATTCTAAGTAATAAATTTGCCAGGATATAAATTTACTTGAGATATATTTCATGTCAAATTTGAAAAGCAGTTTGCACCAAAAGAATGGAAATAGGGGAAGGGCAACAGAGTATCTTTCCAGCATTTTCAAAATGAAGAAGGTTAACTTCTGTCTTCAAAATCAATTTTTTATTACAATGTAGAGCAATGTCTTAAGAGAAATCAGCCTGAAATAGAACTCAGATTAACCCTTGAGGAAATGGAAGAAGAAGGAGAGCAAAAGCAGGATTCTTCCAGAAACAATGACCAACATAAGCAAAGCATCAGAAAAGAGAAAAACAAAAACATCCAAGTTGAATGCCCTATAAAAAGTAGTTTAATGCTGTTAGCTCTCTGAATCTCTTTTCCTTCTTTTCAGTTCTGCTGCCAAACCGAAACACCCAGTAAATTCACAGCTCTGCTCAGAACTGGTCCTGAGATGTCATTTTCACAGCTGACCTTCCTTCTGTCACCTCAATGCCTTTCTCCTGATCTTGAGTGTAGGTTTTCACACTTTCACTCTGCTCCAAACAAGCTAAGGCAACTGCCTTCCTCGCTGAAACAACTGTCAAGGTCTTGCCACTGCACACAGTAAACTTTTAGCCATGGGTAGCTCTCGCTGCCACTGCTTGCAACCACAATGAGGGTCCCTTTCTCAGCCAAACCCAGACATTGCCCCCCCTCAGGCCCTCTCCTCTCCTGCCAGCACAGGCTTCCGCACTGAAATCCCTTCCTGTGACAATTAGCAACTGGGAACACTTGCCCTTGTTTTTAAACCAACAGTGTTACAATAACAAGGAACATCCAAATTTTCCCCTAAATGCAGCTGTGCATAGCTGCAGGAGACCTGGGGCCAGAGGGAAGGAGGCTGGTTCTGAGGGTCAGTCCAGGTTTGCAGAGCAGGGAAAGGGATCTGCATGTGCTGAACTAGAGGCAGCTGCTGCTTTTGGTGCTGCAAGACATCTATCTGTTTGCCAAATCTACAAGACAGCTTTATCATCCTGCACACAGATGAGTCTTTCAGCAGATTCCAGACTCTGTCCTCTGATACCATTTGTCCCAGAGGTTGACCCATTGTGGTCTCTGAGCAATGAGGGCTTTGTTACACCTCTATTTCCTTGTCTCTTTTAACCATCCCAGAGCAGTTACCAGCTGAAACTCCAGTTGTGATCCCCTCCTCAACTTGCTGCTCCACTGGAGTACTGAGGGGCCCCCAGAAACAGATTCCTTTTCCTTATGAGACAACAGCAAGTTCAGGATGCTGAGCAATTAGATCAAATTTGATAGTGCAGCCATAGGTAAGGCTACAGTTGGTTGCTTTACAGCAAATTAGTGCTATTGTTTCTATGGCATCTCTCTTACAGCTTTGTAACCATCTCAGTACATCTGAAGGTGGAGAAAGGTGACAGGACAGCAGTCTCCAGTTTGGGGAGGAGGGACAGGGATGGAACAATTATAGGTGGAAAATGCCTTCTTTGCCATTTCAAGGACTTTTCCAATTATGATAATATCTTTGAGTGTCACAGGACAGACAGTGCCTTGTCCCACACAAGTTTGTCAGCCATCTGGTTCCCTAGAGCCCTGGAGAGAGAATTGTACCTTGTACAGCAGTGGCATACCTTCTGCAAAGGCAGCATGTGAGCTGTGAGGGAAGGCCTCTCCCATCCTAATCTTTCCCAAGCCTAGCCTTGTTGGCCTCTGAATTGCAGCTTTAGATATTCTGGGGTAGTTTAATTAAAAAAAAAAAAAAAGTTATTCAATAGGTATCTAAAGTGAACAAAAGTAGCCTTTTCACTTACACTAATTAGCATACAAATTGCAAGGACTACTGAACCGGATACCATGGGCATAAACTATGCAAAGATATCATCTGAGCTCAGGAAGAAATTTTCCATGCAAAACCCATGACTTCTCTCTAAAAGCATCCCTGCACAATGAGCTGTTCAATCAGTGTCACCCCCAGTGTTTACTAATCCATGCTGATCTGACTTGCTTTTGGTGCCTCCAGTGCCTCCCATCAAAACATTGGAAAAGGAGACTGGAGGATCTGCTAAAAACCATCCCAGGTTTAAGAAAAACTCAATTCCATTTTCTTTAACTATTTCTTACCCAGCCCCTCTTTGTTTTAGAGGAGTCATTGTATTGTCTCCCGTTTGATTTGGAATTTGGAAGTCCTGGGATAAACTACAGTGGAACCACTCATCTATTGGTGAAAGCTTATAGCACCTTGGACAAAAAAAGGCCTTTGTGGCATAGTTTGCAGAGAAAGGAATTTTAAAGTGGGGGGAACAAGCAAGACCCAGAGTGTTATTTCAAGGTGTCTCTAGAGAACAAGAACAAAAGAGAAGTTATTGCTGTATTTGACATGTAATTTGTTATTCCTCCTTTTCTTTTACGAAGTTGATTTTGATTCACCAAGAAAAGTTAGTGACAGTCAATTATTCCCTTCCGTTTCATTTTATTGTGATAAGAAAGTTTAATTTTTAACCATGTAATGATCTTACTACAGTGTTACTGGAAAAGGAGAGCCATGCAAAGAGACAAAGGAGAAGGTGAATGAATCCTTCCTGGGGATGGGTTTTCCTAGTAGTGGTTTGATGGCTGGGGGAACTGCTCCTGAGAAAAAGGGAGAAATGTCCTTCTAAGGAGTATCAGGCCTTGGCAAGGATACCAGCACATCTAAGCTTTTCCTCTGTGAGGAAGGGCCTGAGAGAGGTGGAGGTGACGCAGGGAGTAGGAAAAGGGAATTGTGTAGGAGGAGGCTGCTGGTGGCTTTCTGACCATTCACAGCATTTGATAGTTTCCAAAGACCACCAATTTCTTGAGATACCCAAGGGCCTTAAGGAGTTAGTAGAGTTAATTCAGCACCCAAACTTGAGATTGCTGCTTTCAGAAACAATACCCACTGGAGAGCTGAATTCACCCCTCAGTTTTTATTCCTCCTGGTTTTGGCAGGAGCTAACTTGCTGGAGGAGAAGATCAGGGAGTGCATGTTGGGGCACATGAGGCATAGGAGAAATGGGTTCAGGCATGCACGTATCTCTTGTCATGGCTACAGATCTAGAACATCTCATGCGTGCTGTGAACTTACCACCACCGTTCTTGTAGCAGAGGTATGGGAACCTCCACACGTTACCCAGACCAATGATCTCCCCCGCCACAGACAGCACAAACTCCACTTTGCTACGCCACTGCCCTCTCTCTTCCATTTCCTCCACTTTTGTCTCTTCAGGACCTGCAATGGTCCCATTGGGCTCTCCTTCTTTAGACACAGCTCTTGTCATGGCTCTGTGGGACAGAAGAAAAGGAGAGCATGGGATGTAGAGAGCCACTGCAGGACAAGCTGTTGGGAAGAGGGAGGGAGGGGACCTGTCACCACAATAGATGTGTTCCTTGTGTCAGCCTGAGGTTCCATTATCCTCCAGAAAATGGTTTCTTTAGTGTCAGCACAAAGTGTTATCCCCAAGTTATGTCTGTGCTGAAGAGACAGAGGAAAGGTCACTGATCAGGTCAGATGAACCCACCCGCACTACCCCTTTACTGGACTCATCCCTGAATTCACCCTTCCCTGCCCACAGCCCCCTTCCTCATCCTTCCCATCTGCCCCTAAGTGCTCTGCACCTCCATCATTGCTGAAACCTGGCCTGTTAAATTGAAAACAGCAGCTCAGAGGAAGAGAACAGGAGCTGGAGCTGAAGCAGGGAATGGAGGCAGAAGGAGTTTCTTCTCCCTGTGTGCTTTATACAACAACTGTCTCCTTCTGGTTTTAGATGGCAGGAGAGAAATGCTAATAAGATTAATAGTCTGAACAAGAATGGACAACCTACTATCTTACCTCAAGGCATTGGTAGGAGTGTTTTCTTTGTCCCCCTGGACATCACATTACACTACCACAGCCTGACAACGCAGCAATGCACAGACACTTATTTGACCCAGGCTCTCTTCACTAACAAACAGGCACCAGCACCAATCCTCCACCTTTGCCCAACCTTTCAAAGAATACAGGGCAAGGAAACAAAGCCCCTAGGGTGAGCAAAAGGGCCTCATACTTATGAGGTGTTTCATGTCTGGGCAAGGGAGTTCTAAGATTAGACAAGTCCAGTGCTGCAGTGAAAATATCAGTGGGAAAAAGCCCAGAGGTGGAAACACAGAGTAAAGTCACTGTTGGAGGAGATACGGTGAATGTGGCTGGGCCTCCAGAGTGGCACAATTAAGACATTTTCCAGTCTCTACTAAATCCTGCATTACGTTTAGCATCATCTTAATGAAGCAATGTTAGTGGTTGCTTGTTAAAAGATGCAATTTGTACCATACACAAAGTCCTTTTATTGGCTAGTTACTTTAAATCTAATCAAAATTCACACAGACCAGACTGAATCTTCTTTTCAACAACATTTTCATGTTGTTACAGGCATTTGATTATAAGAAGAAATGAAAGCATAAAGAGAGAAAGCTCCCTCTGTCACAGCTAAAAAAATTCTTCTCAAAATCTTCCTCTAGTGAGTTTCCTGAAGTAGGGATGCACATGTCAATCCTGACAGAAAGCACAGACCTAACACGAGCAGGGAATCTGGTGAACCATGACAGGGAAGTCCTAATTTTAGCTACATCTCACTGGTGGCATTATTAGTAAGCACAACTTGGCCTCTGAAAGAGGGATTGGCATCAGCAAGGGATACACGTTGCCATGTTGGGATTTGGAAACTACACTGGAAACAAAGCAGCAGCATCTCTGTTTCCATTCCCAGCATCTGAGACTGCAAAGAAATCAGGGCTTGATTCCTTCAGTAGTAACTTACAGATTCAATTTCCTGGTGGTTCACCGGGTTTTTTTTAATGGCACATCTATCATTCCTTCTTTGCCACCTAAGGGGACATCCCCATCTCCAGGGAACAACAGGGACAGCAATCTGCATCACCCACACTGCTTAACACTTCCACTGCCCCCAGATCTGCTCTGGACTAATTCAACTTGCTGTTTCCCAGGCAAAGTCCAAGCACAGCTCTGGAGGCAGCTCAAGCCAGGGACCTCTCCCAGTCAGCAACTCAGTGGTGAGCAGGATCTTGTCACCTTTGATGTCCTTTACCTTATAGGACCACCAAATCTATCTATCCACCCTTTGCACCAGGACCTATTCCCTCTCTCCTTATGCCTAGTCTCTCTCCAGTCATCTCCCTGTGGACCAGCATCAGGACATGAGTTTTCTCATGGGGAGTAGGGACTACCAGGGAATATGACCTAGCTGGAAATAAAAGCACGCATGTAGACTCTAACATCTAATTGTCCCAGCAGCCAAGGAACACCACAGCACTTGTTTTGATGTAGTTTCCAGTGAGGCAAGGGGGAAGCAGGAACAGGAATTGGTTGGCTCTGCTGGTACTTACCCCACACAAGACAGCATCATTATCAAAGTGTCTCATTTACTTCTGTAAATGAAATGATTTCCTAAATGCGAACCCTCTGGATATATCAGGCCCTCGGGCAAAGAAACATGCTTGCGTATGAAAAGACAACTTCTAATGAATGTTCACAGCAAAACAAGTAGTTCTTTAACACAGACATGTTTCCTCCCTCTGTATTCAAGCAAAGAAAGGAAATCAGATCTCACAGTGTAATACACCACTTGCTCTCTAAATGCCCAAGGCAACAACAGTCTTTGTTTCCCCATCTGCTTTCCTGAAGGGCCCATCCTATTTCCTTTGAAATCATCAGCAGATATCCATGGACTCTGAATGTAGAGAGATGAATCTCATGCAAAGCATCGACCGCTGTAATAGAGGCTGCAGCAAGAACGAGGGGAGCACAAACCAAGGAGGAGAGCAGTCAGGGGTCAGTGAAGAGCATCCTCCAGGCTAATATAGCTGTCTCTTCAAAAACATTGCATAAGATCCTGATCCCTTATAAATTTGAGAGGGGTTTAGAGCTATTTCCAATAAGAGCTTATATATGGGCAGTACTGCAGTGGGCATAACCAGATTCAGTGTCAAAGACAGATGCATGAGGGCACTAAGGAATCAATCTCCGTTTTATCTCCAGCCCTTGCCCTTTATGGTCCATATGCTGGAAAGCACCTATTTACTGGTATGTCTTGGATCGTCCCAAACCCAGCAAGGGCTCTAACACGTATGCATCTACATGAGTGTAAAGGTCAATCAGCCCTCTAACAGCCTCATACAAACCTCAACCCCCACATTTTAAGAAGGTAGTATCAAGGCACACACCCTAAATGCTGGTTTGCAGCAGCAGCTCACCAGCACAGAGATCCTTCCAGTCCCAGCTTTGCCCTCTTCCCTTAGCTCGTCTGCTGGGCCGCATAGGGGGATGGAAACATCGTGTCCTCCTGCCAGCCATTTCTCAGCTTCTGAAGCTCAGGCAAGGCCCCTTTCCCCACTGCCTGCCTGCAGCAAGGCCTGCCAGCTGGCTAATCAGTTTATTCCGATGCTGCAGCACAGCCTCCTCATCTTTGAGAGGAGCAGAGCTCCACGCACTGTCAAATGTGAGAGAAAAAGTAACACATACTTAATGAGATGTGTTTGATCTGTCACAGTCCTTGGCACATTGCAATTTGCTGCAGTCCAGGGCACATTATCAAGTACAATGATGTTTAAGTCTGGGTTTATTGAGGATGTCACAGGAAGATGGCAGGAGATGACTTACCTAATTCTTTGCTTTTATTCTTTTAATGTAAGGTGGATGCAAGAGCCAGCCTATTTCTACTAATATTTGTGTTTTACTTCTCTTTTGCTAGACCTGTTTCACATGTGGGGGAAGGGGAAGATCACAATCAGGTAATCACCTGTCACCAAGCCCCAGGAAGGGAATGCTATGAGTGACAGCCTGCAGACTCAGCCCTGTCACCAGCCTCCACCCCAGGGACACCTGGACCAGGGCTTTGACTCTGCATCTGTCCTTTGACTCCTGAATAGACCAACACAAAGGATAGGATCTGTGATGCTCCAATGAGGAACACAGCTTGGACAAACACAGAACAGCAGGGGACACGCAGCACCTGTGGCTTCATTTTCCTGTTTTAAGAAAGGGGAAAGCACCCTGGTTATAAAGTCAAACCTCTTCAGCTGGGAACAGATGATGGACTAAACTGGTGCCCAAAGTTTTGGCCCTTCATGTCATGAACTACAGCTTCTCCTTTCCCAGACAAAGCCATGCACAGCATTACACATCCCCACTACTTTCCTCTCAGCTTTGCCTGCTGTTTCTGTGATAAAGCCTATTTATGTACCTCCTGGCTCTCTTTCTAAACATCTAATCCTACTGTGCCCCTGCCCTATGTGTTCTGGGGCCAGATGGGGACTCAAATAACTTTGGGGACTCAAATAACTTCTTGTTTCCAGCTAAGAACAATTTGATTCTCCCACAGCAGCCACAGCCATCTACTGTGTTACATCCTTCCTGACAGGCAGACATTTTCCTCTCCCTTTGGATACCCCTCTCTGTAATATATGAGTTCAAAGTAAAGACCGTGCCCCTCACTGCTCACCTGCACCTTTTCTGCTGTTCTTCACCAAATTTTGGGGGAAAAAAATCCTACAACTCTTTCATTCCCAGCCTCTTTTTTCTCTCTGCCATAAAGTTTTTCCAACTGTTAAGATGCCATCTGATGCAATCCATAGTCTACCCCTCTCCTGGACCCACTGAGCCACCACCACCACCACCTTCCCTTCTCAGCTCCCTCTGAACTCAACAGTCTCTTCTAGAGGTGCTTTTCTGTATTTTCAGCCCTCAGCACTTTGAGGAAGTGCTTTTTGCCAGGCCTGGAGTACCCTTCACAGGAATGACCTGCAGTCTGTCATCTTCCTACAGAGTAGGAGGCTTCCTCTGAGCCCAGTGCAACAGGCAGCTCTGTATGAAATGGTACAGGACTGGGCATGGTGCATGGAAGCAGCCACATTTTTTTCCAAAAAGATTTACTGCTGAAAAAATAAGAACACTTGGATTCCCACAGGTTCTGGAAGGAGAACAGGCAGCAGGCAGGCATCCATGAACGTAGACCAACAAGTTCCCCTCTTCAACATTTGAATGAGGTAACTCAGTCTCCCTCTGGTCACAGATTTTGGACTTTGTTTGTCCCACACCTACCACCACGGGATTCTTCAAGTATGGTCACGAAAGGCAAGGAAAAGCAAGGACACCTCTGAAGTGCTCTGGACACTCAGCCACTGGGTCTGATGTGCTGAACACAATGCAGATATGCAGGAGAACAGCATTTTTTGGCTTTATTTGGAAACAAGATGCCACTAAAGAGGAGAGGCAGGAATCAGAAGAAGAGGAGCATATGAAGGGAAAGTGTCATTTGAAAGCAAAACATGGTGGTGTCCTCAGCCTCCTCCAGGGTAAAAAAAGGGCTTTTTCAGAGTTGTTCAGGTGAGACAAGGAGCAAGAGAGAGACAAGAAAGTTGAGAGTGAAGCCACATGGAGTTTTGACACCAGAGGAAGAAGCCAATGGCAATTCTCCTAAAGCTTTTCTTCCTGAAACTTACTGCCTGTTCCTGACTGTTGTCAAGACAGAAGCTTCTACTGCTGGGAAGTTAACATCCTCCATTCGACCTCTTCTGCTGATTTATCTTAAGGCAAATGAGAAGAGGATGATCTCCAGAGGGAACAGTGAAACAGAGACAACTGCAAACAGAGATGTCTTTAAAAAGCAGCCAATAGCACTTATTAGAGGAAGCACAGTGTTAAAGCTCCTTTGGACACCGGTAGGTGCTGCCTGGGCTGCAGAATCACAGGTGACAATGCAGGCAGCTGCACTGCATTTATGTTTCTTGGTTTAATTTTGAAACAAGCAGCAACCAAGGACGTAAACTGCAATTTAAGGTGGGGAGGGAGGAATCAGAAAGCAAAACAGGCTGTTACAAAAGGAGGAGCAGGAGGACACAGCAAATTCTCTGGTTTCAGAATCAGACCCAGCAGTTAGTCGGCAGCTGAAATCCTGCAGTGCATTTTGATGGCAGGAGGCGGGGGCGGCTGTGGGAGCAGAGAGAGAAAATCAGGGCTCAGAGAGGAACAGTAGTGCCAAGGTACAGCTTGAGGAACAAACCCAGTTAAATTAGTGAGTGGGGGCTGCTACTGGAATAGGTCATCTCTGCAAGATGGACAGGAAAATATTAGCAGTAGAAGGAAGTGTTTTCCAGCCAGTCTAAGAGAGTGGGGATGGCTGCTTCCAAACCCAGGTGCTGCTGGAGAATGGCTCACTCCAGCTGCAAAAAGCAAAAGGACAAGGAAAGATGAAGCACGAGAAAGACTGATCAACTCGAGGACAGTAGCTGTTGAAAGCTACTTGGCTTCTTTACACTTTCTAATTAACTTCCAGATTCTGTGGGCTGCAGGGTATTCTCAAAGCATCTGTTCAGCAAGGTTCATGGGGCACAGGAGGCTGTTACAAGGATCAGATCCTACCTATATTTTCTCCAATGTGAAATAAGAGCAATGCTTCTGCAGTCAGAGAGTTTGCTACTTACTGGCACCAGAAAGAGTGAGATAAGAAGCAAATGAGAGTTTGCTAATGACATGTGCATCTGCAGTACAAACTGCAAGGATTATAGAGCATCACCCTTCAGAGCACACACCCCCAGCTCAGGAGGGTATCAAATGGCTCCTGGCCTGTCTTCTGCTGCCAGAACAGAAGATCCTCCTAAGTACCTAAAAGTGGCTGGACTTTCCTGAGGATCAGTGACAAACATCTTGCTAAAATCAGTGTAGGCTGTTGTTCTCAGGGCCAGATCAGTTTTTGTCAGTGTCCATGGCTCACCATGCCTGCTCTTAGCTACACACACACAGGGGTCTTCTTTCTTTAGCCTAGAAAAAAAGTCAAGACTAGATGATGAAGTCCATAAACAGGGTGTAAATATGGCCAGAAACCAGTCTTTGCATAAAACCAGATACTCTTCAGACCTCCACTCAGCCCATAGCCTGGTTGTATCCGCTGCAACACAGCAAGAGGCCCATCCACAGCAGGATCCATCCTTCTTACCGGGCACCACAGTGACAGGTCTCCTACAGACACAGAGCCAGCCTGGCCCCAGGGGAGCCCCTAGAGCCACCTCCTTGGTGGCTGGAGGTGTCTATCTGAAGTCCCATGGCTTGTTCAGAGGTCCTTGTGCACAGCCAAGGGGACAGCACTGCTCCTGTCACTGGCTGGAGGAGCAGAGCAGGTGAACAGCACAGAGGGTGAAAGCTGTGCTGCTCCAGCACCTGCTCTGCAAACAGGCCCCACAGGGGCACAGAGGGGCAGCAACCTGTGGTGCAGCCCAAAAGTGCCCCATGGGGAGAGGACAGAGTCTGCAGGACGGGACATGGTGGCTACAGAGCTGCCACCTCGCCGGGGCAGCAATTTCACAGAGCAAGGCACAGCACCTGGCAGCCTGGGCAGGTCAGGTGAAGAGACAGAGGCTGCCAGCCCTGAAGGCTTGGCCACCTGTGTGCAGCCTGAGCCTGGAGGCCAAGGAGTTAGGGAAGGATGGGCAGCAAAGCCACTGGAGCAAGAGAGCAGAGGAGCCAGCACTGCAGCCAATTGTTTAGCGGTGGGAGAGCAGCACAGGGAATTTGGCAACTGCTGTAGGCAGTTGTATCTAAACTCCCCCAGGCGGGCACACCCTGCCAGACCTCCCAAAAACACAGCCTGGGGGCACTTGCTGTCAGTGATGAGAAAGGGGGAGCATGAGGGAAGCGCACTCAAGCAAAACTCTTCCAAAAGGCAGTCAAGGTTAAGGCACAACACGTTGCTTTATGCCTCTCCCATGAAGGACAAGGGGAGCCAACAGCTGATGTGGCAGACCCCAGTGTCTCAGCCCAGATGTGTGTGCAGACATCACAGAGCAGCAGAGCAGGAGGAGGAGATCATAGAGCTGCAGGAGCTCCCCACCATGATCATCCCCACACTGCTCAGCCCTGCATGGGGAGCCCAGCACCCTGTGTCCTGCTCAGGTGCAGGCTGGGGATCTACCTGGCGGACTCTGGGCAGGGTCAGCCATCTCCAGTCAGTGCTCAGGACAAGTCACACCAGGTGAAATCAGTGCAGGCAGAGGTGCATGGAGACTATGACTCCAGTCGTGCCATAAGTGCCTTCCAGCAGTGCCTGCTGTAACACCACACTGCAACCCACCTGCACCCTCTGAGAGGCAAGGTGTCTGCTTTCTGTCCTGGGGCACCAAAACTTTCCTATAGCCCTGCCCAGGAGCATCATCAAGCAGAGATATGGCACAGGACATTCTAGCCTGCCCTCTGCGAGGGCCACATCTGCACCCATGCATCCAGCAAAATTGGGCTGTTGAAGAGCTTCAGAGGTCAGGTCCAAGGTTCAGCCTCTCATATCAGCAGCTGCCAAAGAGGAAAAACTAGGGCAATGGCATTTCCAATGGTATTGGGTGAAAGCCTTGACTAACAGTGATTACTTTAAAAGCACTGTTGATTTAAGAAGACACAGATCAGGTGTTATGAAACCCTCACATGTTCCGCTTGGGTTTGTTCACAAAAATGCCCAAGATCCCCAGAGTTTAGCACATGCAGAAACTACGCTGTCTCCCTGCCTCACCCCTACTCAGAGGCAAATTTGATGAAGCCTTGGTGGAAAGAAGAGCAAGGAGCACATTACCAGACACATCTTTTAGAGCTGCAGCCCCCAAGTAAATGCTTTAGGGCCAGCACCTCTGCAGGGCAGCATAGGAAGAGAGGGAGTCACTGACTCATATTTGCAGTAGCTGAAATGCCTACAGCCTACTTCACTCCTAGCACCTTTGCTCCTGTACCTATTGTCACTTAGTCATCTGCCCTTCATCCCTGTCCTTATCTGGCTTGCTCTCATCTCTCTTCTCAATCTTTCTGCTGAGTACTTTTCTCTCTCTCTCTCTCTCTGCTGCCACAACCTTCAGTACCAATTATCCATCCTTCAGGCATCTCTTTGCTCTCAGCTTCCCAGCAGGCCCCAGCAGCATCTCTGCCTGTCCTTTTCTATAGAAATCACTAAAAGAGAAACCTCTTCCCTGGGTTGATCCAAACTGATTATTCGCTCCTTATTTTCCATTTCTCTCTTCCTTTGTTTAACACTGGGAAGATTTTCCCATTGCAGATTTGCTGGACCACTCTCCAGAGCACTGGCATGCAGCAGGGAGGACTGGAGGCACTGGCACTCCCAGTGTGACACACACATCCAGCCAGATCTGCTCAACAAGCAAACACCCAACTCACCTGAATCCTGCGAAGGTCTCCCCCAGGCAAGCCCCTCCTGTTCTATCTTGTCCTGTCCTTTCCCGTCCCACTGGAATCCAGGCAGGGAATCCACCAAGTGCCAAAGAGATACAGGAAGAGTTTAGGCAGAGACTACCCTCTCTCCTCCTCCTGTCCCTCCCCTTCCACCAGCTCCCCCCACCAAATTATCACTCAGCTCACGTGTGGGTGGTGGGACATCAGGCAGGGAGGTGCACCAGAGCAGAAGAACTTTCTCCCCTACTCTCTTACAACATGCACAATGTGCACCCCTCCAGACCTTGAACTGTGGCCCTGACAGGAAAGCAAAATAACATCAGCCAGAGGCAGGCAGGGTAAAGGACCAATGTTTGCAAATATCAACAGCAGCAGTCAGGTCATCTGGACATCAGACCCTGCAGCGTGGCCCAGGCTGGCTGCCACATGGTCCCACTGCACTGGAGCTCCAGCATTTTAGTGGGATAGTGACATCCCTCAAAGTCAGAATTGTCTCCATCTCGAGGGAGCACTACACTAGACCTTCTTCTGTGGCCAAGCTCAAGACTCACCAACACTATCAGATGGGTGAACAAAAGGCAGAGGGTGTGTGAAGAGGGGGACGTTTGTCCTGGGGTCACGCAGACCCCTCCCTCCATGCCTGTCCCCTAGGCTGAGTGCCAGTAGAGCTCGTGGGACAGAGCTCTGTCAGCAAGGAGAGGTACTGCTGGAATCTTTATAGTATCTGGGTGCTCCTTAGGAGTGCGCAGTGCCTCTGTGCCTAGCCCTGATACGCTTTTCCAGGGCTTCTCATGGCCAACACCAGCAGCAGGCATTCCAGTTACACCATTTTTCTCAAGATACTTCAGGTGAGATTTTTTTTTTAATGTTAGGTTTAATGCTATTACTGTTTTGTCTTCTGGTTTGCCTGTTAATGTGCCTTCCAAATTACTATTGACCTTTTCATGTACCCATGTGGCCTAACCAGAGCAGCATGTGGGATGGGAGGTGGGGAACATCCAGCACATGCTCCAGTGGCTCAGCTGTGTCAGGGCTCACCATATAAGCATCCTTCAGCCCCCTCAGTGGGAAACCAGGAGCTGACATGAGCCCTCACCACCACAGAGTGGGGAAGCAGTAGGTTTACGTGCCTGCACATGCTTATAGAGGTCATTTGTAATGCTGTCTCAAAAAAATCCTCCACAGGTGCCAGAAGCCAGTGACTCAGATTGCACTGGAGCATGCTGGATTAGGTTGGGGACAGATAATGCTGGAGACATGCGTAAGGGGAATCAACCCTGTGCCTGGTGGGATCCTTGGGATAAACCACTGAGGCCAGCACTGGAGGCAGTAAGGAAAAACATCTCCATCTACTTTGGGGTGTAATGTACCACCTCAGCTGACACTGGAGGCAGGTGGTCTGAGCCCACACTTCTGAGCAATGCAAAGAGGGGCAGAGCAGCTCGGGGTGAGATCTGGGGGACATCCCCAGAGTGGTGGAGCTCTGAGCCAGCCCAGCCCTCTCCCAGAGGTACCAGCTGGGCAATGGAGCTGTGAGGGCTGGGGTGACAGCTGGAGCAGGTGATGCTTCTTCACAGGCAGCCAAGGACAAAGTGTAGTACACTGTTTCTGGGATTAAACTTTCCAAGCATGCCATTTTGAAAGCCCTGGCTTTCACCTTCCCTATGGGCTAGTTGAGTGGATTGGTCCCACACCCAAAGAAATACAAGCTGATTCTTCCTTTGCACAACCTGGCATCAACATCAGAGGGTACAGGCTCCATCTTCTGCCTTTTAGGGGCTGTCTCTGAAGTCCTGAAAGACTGCAAGGTGAACACCATGTGCTGTCTACACAACACAGCCGCTGCATTGCCTCTGTCCCTGCCCACGAAGGACAGTGCCACCGTCTGTCCTGTCATGGAGGACTGGCATGACCCAGCGCAGCTGAGGAAAAGGTGCAGTAGAGGTTATCCAGATATGAAAAGGGGATTGAGATAAGCCTAGGTAAGCAGAGCTGACCTAAAAACTTGATTTCTCCACACTGAAGTGTTTCACAGGAACAGCGCGGGTTTTGTGCAAAGCTGTGGATGGGAAATGACCTGTGACATTCAGGTAAAACAAGAAGAAAGTCAACCTAAATGAAAACTTTATCCAGCAATGTGTGAAAGTCATTCTCCAGGAGGAAAAAAAGGCTGCTATTTCTGTTTTCCAGCCCAGAAGGTACCAGAAGTCACACTCGGGCTTCAGTGTTTCCCATCAGGCAATAATTCATGGTGTTTTTAAATCCTGCTACAGGCATGGGGCACATTTATCTCAGCATGGCAGCTTCCATGTGAGGGATTGCACTAGAGTGATGGCCCAGACTGAAAACCAGAAACCACCTTCTGACCAGCTCAGGGGGGAGAGACTGTGCTCAGGAGAGGGCAAGGTAAGGGGTGATGCACTCCCTGACCAATAATTGCCACCTTCGCTGGCAGAGTAAGCCCTGAGCAGGCACCCTGGGCTGTAGGTAGGACAGAGCTGCTAAGGGGCATGACAACCTGACTGCAGAGCTCCTCCTCTCTGAGTGTGGGTGAGGTTGCTCTTAAACACTCCATCCCCTAAAGAAAAGTGCTGCTTGCAATAAATCCTAGAAATGTTCAAAGCACCCCCTTCCCCAGGCAGCATGAACCCCTCTCAGACATGGGACCTGCCCTGCTGTGTGCAGCTCAGACATCAGCAGCACACAGATCTCCATAGCACCCTGAGGTGCTTTGCAAAGGAAGGGAGGGCACTATCTGATTTTGCAAGCAGGAAAACCAAGACAAGAGGAAACCCCATTGCTGTGCCCCAGGGTGCACAGGAGGAATGGGAAAGCACAGCTGTCCCACCACACAGAGGTACTCACTCCATCTTCAGCTGCCAGCTCACTCAGAACCAGTTGCATGGGTTTCCATCCCCTCCCATCATAAGAGGAGAACTATCCTTGAAGTGACCTGATAATCCTCAACCTGCCAGGCCCAGGGCGGCTGGAGACCAGGACTCAGCCTGCTACACCAGCCTTTGCTCTGAGGGATGGGTAACCACAACTTCAGATCTGCCCTGTACCTCCTCAAAGGTCTCCTCCTCCCCACCCTGCTCACCCCCTGCCAGCTGGCAGTGCACCCTTGCCTCCCTTTTCACCTTCTCTTTTCTCATAGTACGTGTTGGTTTTTCCCATTATCTGGGTCTCCCCACCCTTTCCTCCCTTCCAGCCAGCTCTGACATGCCTGCAGAAGAGCCAGCCCAGAGCGACAGGCTGCCAACACCAGCCCACGCCAGGGCCACACTCCCTGGCAGCAGCAAGTCCTGGGCCCCACGATGCTTCCCTCATCCCTGAGCCAGTGAGGTGCAAGGATTCAAGCCAAATCGAGTCCATTCCGTCCCCCCCTCCCAGTCCAGCTTTTGGGAGAGGTCTGTCAGCATGACACCCTGTGGGTGAATCCAAAATGTGCTCCTGCTTTACAAACAGCAGAAGCTGCAGAGGCAGTCACTGGGATTTGTGCTGGAGACAGCAAACCCTGCAGCCCTGGCTGCCCAACTGGCTGTGCCACCTGCAGGAGAAGCCACCACTGACCTCACTGGTCCAGACCAATCCCACCTTTTAACACCTTTGCTAACAAAATGGGAGAAATGCTTCCCCCTTGGGCACAACGCCGCTGCCTCTTTGGCCAAGAGCTTGCCTAGCCAACTGAGCACTGTCTGCAGAGGATTTCCTCCTAGGCATACATATAATTTATTTTTTATGTTCCCAGCTAACTTCTACTGTGACTTCTGACAACAGTTCCACCAAAACTAATCACTAGTTAACATGACCAAAGTAACAAGTGTTAACGAGACCCCACAGAACCATGACGAGCTCCAGCAGCCACAGCACCGCTCCCTCACCAGGCTCCCAGGGAAGAGGAGGCTGCCAGGAGCCTTCATCTTTGGAAGTACAGGCAGGGTGAGACATTCCCTGTTTCACAGCATTCCCAGTGGGGGAGAGGATGAGGCAAGGGCAAATGGCTTAGGAGCCCAGTGCTGGCAATAAAGGTGGTCAGGAGGGAGGACTAGCAATGCTAGGGGAACATCTGTAGTCTAACAGCTTTTCTGAGTCTCACAGCAGTGCTCATTATTGATCAGAGACCAAGGAGGATCACAGTACAAAGGCAGGCAGAGGACACATGGGTATGTGTCTGTTTGCTCCTGCTTTACCTCCCTGCTTCCTCAGGGCGGCTGAGCCTGGTGCTGTGGGACGTGTGTTGTGACAGCAAACACCTCCAATGTACAGGGCACAAGGATGGGAAGGACAAGGTCAGTCTGCAGGCACAGAGAAGCATATGTGGCTGCCCAAAATGATGCACCTCTGGGCAGGTCAGATGGAGAAGGGGGTGAGCAAACCACTGGTAACTTCTTAGAAATAACAGCTTCCTGTCTTTGTGCTCCCATACACATGCTTCCCTTATCTGCACCACGCAGATCCCCATCCTGCAGGCTGCTAACCACGTTAGGAGACAAGGGCTCAGCCAAACACCCTGCTCCATGGGATATGCTTATTTGCACCCGCCTGTAGGACACACTTAACAGATTATTTGGGGATCTCTGCTTCACAGGGTTATGTATCTCACGTGTTAGCATGTTAATCTTACTCTGTTCTCTCCATTTATGCACCATGGCCTGTCTTTTCCCAACACATCCACCTTTCTTGTCACCAAACAGCAACTCACAATACTTAATTTTTCAACAGCCACGGAAAACTGTCTTGTATATATCACTAATGGCAAAAGGAGCAGGACCTCTCAAGGCATCTCTTAAAACATACTGGGTACCCCAGGAGTCAGGATGCTCGCCGTGAGACTCATCCTGCTCCCCAGGTCCACAGGTCCATCCCTGAGTCTCTCCCCTGCCCTATTTGGACATCTCCATCCCTAGGTAAGGAGGGCTGAGACTTCCCTGGGCACCACTGATGCAACCATCACAGTATGAGACAAGCAGAGCCTGGTTTTCATAGACAGATGGATGAAAAGGTCATCCTTTCCAAGCACTAGCAACCAGGGGTAGAATCTCAGGGATAGTTTTATTTTTTGGTGAACTTCTCATCTTTAAAAAAAAAAAAAAAAAAAAAAAAAAAAAAAGGGTCTTTGATCTCATGCCCATTATCCAGAAAATAACAGGTTGAATTCTCAGCCTAAGTTGCAGGTTTTGGATTCTGAAGGTGGGAAATTTCCA